GATTTTTTGCAAAGTTCGAGGGTGGTCGCGGCATGCGGGCTCAGCTGCAATTAAGATTTGCATAAGATAGTGATGCCCTATATGCATTGGCAAGTCTTTTATTAAAAACGGATGTGCTTTGCGTAGATACTTACGAGATATCCGCAATCATTATTTACAGATTAATTATATATATAATATGTTACATATAATGATTGATAAACGATAGTTATTTCTAAAAAATGCTAAAATGGCTAACGTCCTTATTCTCAATGGATTTTTAAAAACCATTGCCGCAAAAAAAGCAAATCAAATGAAAACTCCTTTCATCATCAGTTTATCTTAATAGTTACACTACTCTATCTGTACATTTCGATGTCTTCTTGATAAGAAACGGATAATTAATATTCGAATAATAAAAATGTACGACTCTACATTTGAAAATAAAATTAAAGTTTGATTCAAATCCATGCAAAGTTACCTATTGAGTTCATATGGCTATTTTCAAGAGCTTATACCATACCATATATCAAGCCTGTTAAACGTTGTAAAACGATTTTAAAGAAAATGTTTACTGGTTGAAGTTTAGCCCAGAACAGAAAATAAATATTTTAAATGTAAAGAAGAATAAATAAATCGATTTTAATTGGAATTTTCACTGGACGTCGGAAGTTATATAGCACACCTACTTTGTATCGGCAATAAATATATGATAGTAAATATTATCAGTTTTTTTTTATCGCGGATCTAGTGAGGAACGAATCAAAGAGAGAGATGATCCACCCTGATCGTCACATATACATTCATAGCTACATATACTCGTACAAATAAATACATTTTGTTACTAAACACAATCATAAGCAATTTAATATATGTAACCCTATTGAATTATATCTATAAAATAATAAAAACAACACATGACTGCTAAAGTTATTATAATTAAATTTTATTAAAAAATAATTTTAATCTCTATATATAATTTGACGCCTTTTATTATTTTATTTACAATTTATTAAATAGCATGGTAACACTCAATAAAACTTATAAAGACAATAATAAAATGTAACAAAGACTACACAAAAGCTCGAGACGGCTTGATTCCAAGCAATTAAGGTGACTGCGAGCAGCCAAAACAATCGATCGCTTCAAATGGCGGGTCGTCTCGTCACGCACTGCGCACACGCAAATGGACCATACAAAGATTTTACTCATACATGTACATCAAACTTTTAATCTATATTAATATGTTTATTAATTATTATTTTTTATCAACTATATTGCTAAATTCACTGAAAACGCTGAAGCGAGTCTATCACATGTACCTACTACTCCACTCTACCGCAAATCAGTATAATGGACAAAGAATAAGCGAACAAACGCTTAGTGTGTCAATTTGATAAAAATAAAACCGTTGCGCCAATTATATCTAACGAGTCTTACTGTCTTCAAACAAAATTCTTGATACGTGGCATTTGTGAGCAAAAATCTTATATCTATTTATGTGCTCAACACTGATATGTCCTTGCTTCACATGATAAGAATTTTTATTAATAAAAATGACAAACTGTGCGTTTCATTTAAACAGCTCATTCTGATTCGAGGTAGTCTCTAATGGATTTTTAAAGTAATCCAAGTAATAAAGCCAAGCAGACTGTTGTTTTAGTTAAATTTGTTCTTATATCAATTCTAGATACTGTTTATGCTGGGATTCAATGCTGCGATAACCTACATGACTATAAATAGAAAACAGAAATAAAATATTATAAACTTAAAATATTATGGTTTTACATTGTCTTTCTTTTTCATTTTACTGTTGATTTTTACAAAATTATCCTGTGTATTACTTTAGTGGTTTATTATATACTAGCGACTCTCCCTCGCTTCGCTCGGGTTCGTCCGTTCTGCGTAGGTTTTAATAACTTTTAGTATGAAATAGAAATCTTTGAATTTCTCGGCTTTTCTGTACTATATATGCATGTATTATACATATAAACCTTCCTCTTGAATCCCTATATCTATTGCTGGAAACTGCATTAGTTTAAAAAGTCTAAGTGAACAGACAGCGGAAGCGACTTTATTTTATACTATGTAAAGATGTACATATGTATGTATGTACTCTCTCTAGAGTATAGGGTTACTGATTACTATATTTAAATGGTGAAATGTTATCTTATTACTTTCTTATAGCTGAGTAAAGGCTTACTAGTTTTGAATAAGTCTTTAAAGTATTTAAACGAGATGTATACCAATTTTGTGAGATATTAAGTATTTTATGCCAAAATATGTGAAAAACATACATTAAAATAAAATGTTAAATCCGCAATATCAGACTATCAAATACTATAAATATACTTTTAATCAGGCTCTATTTCCACACCACCTACGAGGTAAGAACCAGAGGTGCGCTTTTTTTAGAGAGGTTTCCCCAGTAGGCCTAATCCTCTTTTTCATTTGCTACATACACAATAAATAATAACAAAAAAAAATAAAAAATATTACATCTTCAAAAATGTTGATATGGCCGAAATTGAGATAGCGTACGTAGATTATTAGCTAATGTCCCAGAAATTGTGTCACCCAGTATAATGGAGGCGGTACGTTTGCACGTCGATTACGAGTCGAGGGCAGTGTTCTTTGGCGGGCACGGACTGGCAGACAGAGAGTCGGCACAAAACGCCTACACGCTGACACAGCTGTTCCGACAATGAACATCAAACCAAGAACCCAATCTATCAGTTCTCTACAAATTCTCATTAAAATAGAATTGATAATCTCATATTAGTTACTTTTATAAATATATTCGATCCGTTTTTTTTTCTATTTATAGTAATAGAGGTTATTCTTTTGAATATCTTTATTTAATTTTTTAATTAAACCATTAAACAATAAGTGCACAACCACATCAACTTAAAAGTAATAGCTTAACAATAATTGCTTCCACTGGTTTTAATCGGATAATTTTATGCAATCTCCGAAAGGTTTTGTGGTGGCGGCCACGCACCTTTAGTTCGATTAATAGAATTATCGATTAAGTACATTCACACTCAATCCACATTCAAACTATTCATCTAGCTAATAAAGCATTACTTTTGAGTGGCTGTGATGTGCATATTTTATGTGCTACTACTTTATGACTAACGTCTTAATATATGACAACGGCAAGAAGAGCATGGTCTTCTTTTAATTATAAGGTAATGTTAACAAAACACATTGAAAAATTGGAACAAAGTTCCTAAACGCAACTTACGGTACGAGTTGACAGGTAGAAATCGTCACGTAACGAAAAAAGTTACGTAACAAAGAGGTTACGTTTTATTATTTACTAATTGTAAGAGCATCCTATGTGACGTCATCGCAAGTACCAGGCGAGCATAAATTTTATTCCCTGAACGACCGCGGACACGCCGGCGTTACAGTTAACAATAGATTTCTTAGAATTTCAATTAATTTCTTAGTTTACCTGGAGGTGTTAATGAGGTCGTATAAACTTTAAGACGGAGCCCTAGATATATATATATAATGAGCAATTCTTAAGGTTAGTGGTCTTCTAGTACTAGTGACAAAAGTCCAAGGCGATTATGGTGTCGAGGAGTGTATGCTGTAATAAATTCGTGTGCACTCTGTGCAGACCTTTTTTCGATAAGCTTTTATATGTGCAATGTACGTTGCTCGATGTCTATGCTACCTTGTTACTCGGGACAATGTGTAAGAGCTAATGTATGAGCTAAAAGCAGACAGCGATAGGAATTTCGTCACTACCGGGTGTCCCACGACACTGACCAATTTTGTTTCTTTAGTAATAGGAAAAATATTCCATATTATATACGTCTTTGAATACAATATTGACAAACAAGCCGGACGAAGACAGCGATATCGGCACGGAGCCTGTCATTCGGTACGGACGACCTATCAAAAGAACTCGTGAATACCAACTTCATTATCGACTTTGATAAGTATTCTAAAAATAATTAATTAATATTTACTCATCATGAGATCCTGCCACTTTTGTAATTTAAGAATTGTAAAGATATAGGAGTTCCGCGTGCGGACTTTTGAATGAATGAACATTGTTATAAATTGTATAATATAGAATATATCTATATGTATATACGTGTCTCAAACTTAATTATGACTAAAAATATTTATTTCTCACTGTCTGATTATAATTAAACTAATTAATTTGCAGTTAAATATTGCACATATTAAAAGCGCGATATAAGCTCTACATTGATATAACAAATAATGTTTGGGAATTGTCTAATTAGCGGACATAATCGCAGGCGGTGACGTTAAAAGCTTCGTTATCATCAGCGGTCGAAGCCCCTTGGCTTTACCAGATCACATATTTGCATGCACTTAGATAACATCTTTATATGTATAAGCGCTCGTTTTCACCTTTAAAATTTTATGTTTTTACATATATTAAATCTAAATTCTTGATTAATGCTTTATAATACGCCAGCGTTACATTTCTGTTCCTAGATCCCAGTCAAGCGTGTTCAGTAAACTCTTGCATATTAATATTCAGTAGTCGTTATGAGCGATCGCGATAGAAATCTTAACGTTAGAGACAATGGCAAAGTAATTCTAGTATGACTCGAAACGATCTTTTGCTAATTAAAATTGGTGGTGCGTGACGCGATCACGAAGTTCCTTACCCACTTATAAGCTGCACACGTGCCTGTCAATGAACCTTATAGACCATGTCAACCGAATAGTTGTTCGCACGTGTAGTCCACTAAAACTGCCTAGCGCGGACTTGTATTTTTGACTACATACCGTAACGCGGCACTGTGTCTAAATTTTCGAATTTTGCATTTTATCAAACCACATGCACAACGGACGTTAATAACACGTAAGCGAAATAGATGCTCTAGATATAGATCTCAATAACGTACTCGACTAGGCATACATTATGTCGATATATTAAGGGCATCGAACTTGGCTCTTTAAAGCTAATATTCGCAAAAGATTGAATTGATAAGCAATTACAAGAAAAAAATTGATTGGTCATTGTACTAACGAGCAAATACGAGGACGTTTTCGGTGCGAGCAAGGAAATCGTCCTGCTCGGTGTGAGTTACAAAAGAGAGAGCCGGTGCGTCAGCTTGCACGCCAGCCGGCGGCGGTCTTCTCTCGAACCGCTCCATGAGATCCGCCGGCACTCGTGGCAACTGGCGTCCGGTAGTGTTCGGCGCTTGCGCAAATCCTAGCTTAGCTAGTAAACTTTCCTTGATAACTCGGAGGCTGTGCTCTCGGGCGTTCTCGTAGGAGCGGCAAGATGAGCAGAGATGCGGCGGCGGGGGCTCCTGTGGGCAGGCTAGGTCTGCGGCGACGGCCGCCAGCCACGCGGCGAGCAGCAGCAGGCTCGCGGGCCGGGCCCGCGGCCCGCGCGACGCGCCCAGCGCACGCGTGTTGCGGGGGCGGGGGGCGGCGGGCGGCTCGGGCGGCGACACGGGTGCGGCCGCGGGCGGCGCGTGCGACACTGCGCCGCGCTGCGCCCCACGCCCGCCGCCTGCCCCGCGCCTGACTCATCACCACCACCGCCACCGCCCCACTACTGAGCGCCGGAAAAAGGAAAACGCGCCCGTCGCATCTCCCCGCCCGCCCATGCATCGTTATTAACTTTTTCCCACTTTCACCTAATTAAATCTGCTTATTTTTTAACATAAATACTTTTTTTTTATAAAACTATTAACATATAAAAATTAGCTAAGATCATAATAATTGCACTTATGGTAACAGATTCTTATTAGATTAAAGTATAACTTTACAGTATTTTTACAGTTCTGAGAAGTAGGTACACGGCATAATATATTATATCTTTATTTTATGTATATGTATTATATATTACATTAAATAAAAAAACTAAGATAATGAAAAGAAGTACCTATCTAGAAACAACTCTGAAAAAACATAAAACATGTATATTTAGTTATATTTAACATGTGTTTATTTTAGCAATAAGTATGTGAAGAAATTTGTTTATCTTCAAATGGATAAATATTTTGACGTTAATTCTCACTAAAGAAGAGATTAAGTGTACTCTGTATAAACTACGAGCACGATTTTTCTCAAAAATATCTAATAGCGGTGGTTTTATAAAAAACGATACGCAGTTACAAGAATGTTGTTTTTTAAAACGTTGTTACTTAGTGAATTTGAAGAGAAGTAAAATAAAATAGTTTCAATTAAGAGCGCAGAAATGGTTACGAATATTGTACAAGACCCACGTAGTATCTACTCTACAATTTTATTTTTAGTGACAATTTTAGAAGAGGCTTAGAACGAAATGAAGAAGAAACGGAAATCAAGACTAAAAAGATCTATTGCAAAAATACTCTAATTAATTTTTTTTTTATTGAATTAGACTCTTTATTGTCTAGCAGACTGCATCCGCAATTTTGGTTTGCGTAGACCACGAACGAATATATAAAGAAGGAATTTAAGATTTTATTTATATTTATTTTTTGATCTTATGACAGAAATCTATCTACCTACATATATTTTTTATAATGTTGGGAAATGAATTTACCCTTATGGGTATTATTTGAGGTGTTATCACCTGTAGACATACGTGGGACTCACCGGCTAGAAAAGCCACTACTACCCACTTAAATCACAACAAAACCTCCCTCGTACCTCGCACTCAACCATGACGCCCCGACGACGGCAGGTCTGCTGTAGCAGACCACAACAACCATGGGAATGCTCCAACAAGCAATCCGCATGGTACACCGCCCATCGAAGTGGGCCACCTCCCTGTGCACTTCTTGGCTTTGCACCTGGCTAAACTGCCGAACGCTAATGAGCTAATTACAAAATGCAAGAGTTCCCGTGGGATAGTTAAAAAACTATAGTAACTTATACAGCTTAGTACACAACAACTTATTGCGGACTTTTCTGTAGACCTTTTTAAGACCTACAATTTTCTAGTAAATTGTTTTGATGTATCTCTTAAGACTTAGCCAGAGTTAGCCATATTTTCTAAGGACGACTCGATAGAACCAGTTAATGTGTTTTGCCGTAGGAATGAAAATTTTTACTGAAAAGGTATCTTAAATGTTGTCCTAAGTAATAAATTATCACTACACAAAATTTAGTTAAAGTCGGTTCAGTACTTTTTGCGTGAAACGCGCAGAGACGTACAGATAAACAGTCATTTTTTTTAATAAGTATTGTTTTGAGGTCTGTAATGAATACAATGTACATATAATACGTTACAGTCATTTTAAATAAAACTATCTTTTCGGATTAATTCGCAAATTTATAGTTTTTTTTATTTTTCTATATCTTATTTCATTTCGAGATATGATTTTTTTTCTGACCGAAACCGAGCGAAAAGCGACCGCATTATTCACATTTTTTCGATTTAAAAAAAGTCTTCGAGTGTTTTTGTAGCCCTCATTCAGACGCATCTTTTAACATTCTTTTAACATCCCGATCAACCACGTAGTCCCAAAATCCACGACACCAGGGCGATGTTGCACTTTCGCTGAAAATCGGGCGTTTACTGAAGCGACAAAAAAAACATTTTCAATGTTAAAATGATTACAAAAATTCGAAAATGGCACCATCGTACCTTACAATATTTGTTGATTTTTATTTCTAAACTTTTAAATATATATATATATATATATATAATATAAATTAAATATAGCAATATTATTTATTTAATTTTAGCTATTAGATATTATTATAAATATTATCGTTTTTAAAAACCTTATTAAATAAATAATTAATATTTTTTAATATTCTTTATGGTTATACATAATATAATAATAGCAACACTAAATAATATTAGTAATTAATAAAGTTTTAACAAAAATATAAGAGTTATAATTTATTTTTAAATGTTTAGAAATAAAAATCAACAAATATTGTAAGGTACTTACTTTGATGTCATTTTTGAATTTTTGAAATCATTTTTGTAAAATAGTGGGTAGGCACCTTAGAGTATACATAGCTTATGTACTCGTATACTCTAAGGTAGGCACTGTCTGTAACGAGTGCATATCGCCCAGTAGTGTGGTCTCCTTAATCTGTGATATTGCCTTTGAGACGTCTATAACATAAACCAAGAACAACAAGAGTCTGTAACCTTAGCTTAGTCTCTCCCGTGACCATGATTGTTGTAAAGCATTCGAAACGTCGGGAACCAAAAATCTAAATAAATCCGCGAAATTATCCGAAAAGATAGTTTTATTTAAAATGTCAAATATTCGCGTAAATCTAAGAAAGATATTACATACGTCATTGTTTGAAAAAAATATTTCATGTACAGATTTCACTAAGTTATTGCTTTATTATAGTAAATATGTATAGATATACTAGCATTTCACGCGGCTCCGCCCGCGTTCAGATGACTAAAAACCAAATTCTTAGGGTTTACATATTAATATACTCTTACATTACAGTTTTTGTATTTTATCCCAAAATTAGATACTTTCCCGCGGTAAAAAATATCCTATATGTTGACCCGGATAACTAGCTATCACCATAAAAAATTTAATCAAAATCCCTCTGGTGGTTTTTCTGTGATACGGTAACAGACAGACAGACATAAAAATTCTAAAAACTATAGATTTGGCCTCTGTATCGATACTTTGTTTTCGCTTTTAATATACTATTTAAATCTATAAGACCTCTACCTCCTTTTCCGTTCTATTGCTGATTTGGGTTGTCCGTAATTATGTTTTGTCGGTATGGTTCTAGTTTTCATTTCTATTCTATTAATGTCTGTTTTTGACAACTTAATTATCCCTAATGAATAAGTTAATATTGGTATAGCATAAGTGTTGATAGCTATTATACTATTTCTATGCCTCACAAATTCTATTATCATTCCACTATATTAGCCTTAAAGCTGCCCGCACAACGGACCAGAAGGGAGTCTAAGTGCGGAAAAGGAGTTTTAAGTTAACACAATTTTAACTTGCAATTTTACTGTAACTGCATCCACGACTTCGTTCGGGTGGACCGTTAATGGGAAATTCTAAAGAAAGGGAAAGCAGTTTAAAGAATATATTTTTTCAAAACAATCTTTATTAAAAAAAATCCTGCTCCAGAAAAATTGTCAAAGTGCGTGACGTAAGTCACGTATGATGTTGGAATGTAAATGCTATTATCTTATCCGCCTCCGTTATTAAGTAAAAAAATATATTTTATGTTACGCGGCTGTTTGGTAACAAAGTTAAATTTAACTTTTACATAAATCATTTACTACGAAAGTAGAAACAATAGAAACAGTAAACAATGCTCTCAAGTAGTATTTTTACCCGGCAGCGGCGAAGCCCAAAGGAGGGTTATTTGTTTGAACTGCATGTATGTCGCAGACATCTAGTTTAAATCAGCCGTTTGATTAGTGGCCTAGCTTTTTAATTAAACGGTGCCGTTTAATTAAAAGGCCGAAATGATATCCAGCCAATGCGTCTAAAACAGCATTGAATGAACTTGCAAGCAGAAACTTAGGCCGTTCATAGAATAGGGTAATAGTGTGACGAAAATATATGAAATATTTAATACTTTATTTATCTACATTTCTACACTATTATTATAAAGAGGAAAGATTTGTATTTTTGTATGTTTTTAACGAATAAACTCAAAAACTACTGGACCGATTTAGATGAAATTAGCTAAGAAGATAGTTTGAGACCCTGGGAAAGACAGGATGTTTTTTATTCCGGAAATCATTCTTTAAGGGGGTGAAAATGGGGATGAAAGTTTGTATGGGGTATCAACCTAAACATTTTACTCAGTTTTTCGCTCTTTACTTTAGTTTACAGTACGGTTTGCCCGCAAAAAAAGAATGGGTAATATAATATAAATGGGTAATCGTGTGCATACAAAGGGAAAAATCTGAAAACAGTAAATTTTTAAAATGTGAAGAAAAATTAACACCTTGCGCCTTTCAAAATATAATAGCAATAGCAATCATAGTAAATACGAAAACTTTTTCTTTCTCAGGAGAAAAGGTTCCATGATGATTAAATAACATTTTCCTATTCCGCCTTGTTCACTAAAGAATAGTCGCAAAATTATGAAAAAAAAAGATTGAATTAACACGTCACTTTGAATTATGAATAATAATAGTTTATTTACAAAAAGTCATGATATCCCATCAAAAACATAAAAGTGAAAATGGGAGCCAAGTTCAATATTAAGAAAATGCGTGGTTGTCAATTTCACCGACAAAAGAATTGATATCTAAATGGGTGCCAAGTTCTGCAGATAATCCTGATTTTTTTCATAACAACATTCTAAATTAAATTTAAAACACAATTTCTTGTTTTTTTTTCTGCTACTAAAGTGTTTTGCAGTGTGTTTAAAGTCGGTGCCAGCCGATGCAAAGCAAATCTAATATATTTCGATACGTAAAATACATATTTATCTATTAGATATTTTAAAATATTGTCGGCTGGCACCGACTTCCAAAATATCTCACAGGTAAGATGCGAACACAATAGAAACACAAACCAGGTACTATGGAGGGTAGAAGTAAGGAGGACCGCCTTGTATTGGGGATTAGATGAAAAAGTGTCCACTTGTAAACAGCAAATTATTGTTTGAACACTCATCGAAATAGCGCTAGTGTAGGAAATGGAAATGATATGAATTTAGCAGTTATAAACAGAGTGAAGTATGCTGGGTTGAAAAATTTAATTTTTTTTTGACTTCTGTAGTTAAGACATATGCAGTATTTAAAATCTCAACTATTTACGTAGTCAACTGTAATTTAGTAAATAATAACCTATAAAATGACTTAAAATAACGTACATAGTAATTTGTTTTTTATGAAATATTGTTGATACATTTTGTTATTTAGATGCTTTTATTGTTGTTAATACAAAAATAATGTCTTTGCTTTTTTATTTTAGTATCCTACTCTAATAATTTGTGGCGCTCCTTTCAAAATTAATCCATTTGCTACACCTTAATTTGCTCCCTTTTAACGGACACTTTTTAATATACCGAGGTGGTCCTCTTAAAAGAGATATCTTAATAGATTGCATTAACATCAGACTGAATGTAAATAGACCATACGTGTAGCACCCTCCTTTCAAGAAATCTTCCACATTCTTATGTTCAGTGGCCGATCTCCTTTTTTCTTAGAGAGGCTCATCTCTAAAATCTAAATTAAAATTCGAAATTGACATGTGTAACGCGGGGTTTTTACAAACAACGGTGATCGCGGGGTATCGTGTCGGAACATGTACGATCCTGTAGGGCCGTGTTTCGTACGATCGTATAGTTTAGGCGCCCGCGCCCCCCCGTCTCCCGCGAACGCGTGAGCGACGGCGTGGTTCGACCAGGCAGAGAGCCGCGAGCGCCGAACGCGTAAACATCTATATCATAACGATCCTCCACGACTCTCATTTTCGCGCAGTTGTAAGATTTTATGTAATTTTTTGTGTAACTTCTATAACCATAAGTTTTCTTGTCAAACCTCAAGTGAAATAAATATATTTTTAATAGACTGTTGTGTACCTATTAAACTGGCGCCCATACTAGTGGCTCGAACTTTTAAACTTATATACTAGTGCGTGAAGATGCCTATGACGAGGAGAGGGGAAACGCTTCGGCAGCAGCGAGGGGATGATGTCACAGAGGGAGAGGAGAGCACCATCGAGCACGGCCACGTGGACGGAGCTGCGCGAGCCGGCTCGACACAGCAACCAGCACCCCAGCTCCCCGAACACTTCCTATCCACGCTGATGGAAACGATCACGCGTGCGCAAGTGGAAGCAAATAGAAGCCTTATCAATTCTCTGATGACGTCCAGCAGTGAATTTAAGGCCTCCACCCCAGTCGTGGCCTCTCAAACAAATAATGTGAACAGCGGGAGTGGTACTGCTGCCAGCGTCGCGAGTGTCGACGCAAATTTTACTAAGTGCACAGCGCGGTTCAACGGGTCGTCCCAGGACGCCGAGGTATTAGAAGCGTTCCTGGATGCCGTCGAGATATTTAAGGAGTGTGCGGCCGTGAGTGACGAGCTCGCACTCCGCGGATTGCCGATGTTGCTGGAGGGTGAAGCGGCAGTATGGTGGCGCGGCGTTAAGGCGTCGGTGACTACATGGGCGGACGCGGTCGCCCGCCTACGCGCGGCGTATGGCGTGGCGCAGCCCGCGCATCAGATTCTACGGCAGATCTTCGCGACGGAGCAGCAAGAAGAAGAACGCGCCGAGTCGTTTTTGTGTAAAGTGCGAGCGTTAATTGCAAAGTTACCGTATAAGCTCGATGAAATAGTGCAAGTTGATATTTGTTACGGGTTATTACACCGACGTATTGTTAAAAGAGTTTCCCGCGATAATGTTCGTAATTTAGATGACTTAATGTATAAAACGAGGATCGCGGAGGATATGTATAAAACTCTTAAGGTAAATAAGGATAACAATAATAGTAATAATTGTAAAAACGCGATTTCACGAACATCGGTCACTACTACCGGTCGCGATCTCACTCGATCGAGTTTTGATAGTACGAACGCGATCACTCCGCGTAGTAATAAAAACAATAGGCCCCGATGTAGTTATTGTAAATTATTTGGGCATATTAGTGAAGAATGTCGCAATCGTGAGAAGGTTATAATTAATAATAATAATGATAAACATTTGTATAGCGATAGCACGCGTAAAGGTATACGTTGTTACGGTTGTGGTAAGGAAGGTGTCGTGAGGTCGAAATGTGATATTTGTGTGAAAACTTTAACGAATTCGGATGGTAAAACTTCGTTCAATAATTTGGATGTAGATTTTAATAATCACGATAATTGCATTAATAATAATAATAGTAGTATAGGTAATACAAGTGCGTCATGTATTAAGTTAACTAACGTGAGTACGCGTGAATCGTATCCTATGGTTAATATATCCATTATGGGTCGTACCGGAGTGGCGATAGTGGATACGGGCGCTACGCATAGTATTGCGAGTCCTTTATTATATAAAATTTTAGTAGACTTGGGAGTACACTTTAGTAAAGTTAAACGATTTGTACACCTGGCTGACGGTACACAAGGGTGGAGAGACTTGTTGACGGCCGAGGTAGGTATAGATATCGAAGGCCATAGTGTAATGTGTCAATTACTAGTGTTGCCAGGTTGTGACACTAGAACACTTCTAGGTATAGATTTCTTGTCTCGGGCCGGAATGGTAATAAACGTTGCCCATCGCACTTGGACATTTATGGATAGTCCCGGACAGTGCTTTAATTTTATTTATTCGTACACACTTGACCCTGCAGGTACAGATTTATTGCACGCCGCATCTGATGAGCTGATGTTGCGCGCAGACGAAGGATCTAAGTTAACCCAGGAGCAACAGAATAGAGAATCTGTTAAGTTTTTAGGACACGTTATTGTACCAGGCGGAATCCAGGTGGATCCAGATAAGACGGCGGCTATTGATAATATGCCCGCCCCTCAGAACGTTAAACACTTAAAATGTTTCTTACAAACGGTGAGTTGGTATCGCCGCTTTATTAATAATTATGCTGAGATCGCGAGACCTCTTACAACACTCCTGAAGAAATCAAGTGCCTGGCGATGGGACGCCGAGCATCAGGAGGCGTTTGAGCGGATAAAGCGTCTCCTCGTATCCGCTCCCATTCTGCGTCAGGCGGATGAGTCGAAGCCATTCGTTCTCTGCACCGACAGTAGCGCTTACTGCCTCGGGGCTGTTTTAATGCAGGGGGAGGGACACGATGAGAGACCGGTCGAGTACGCAAGTCGTCTTCTCACTAGTGCAGAGAAGAATTATTCCACGACGGAACGAGAGGCACTCGCCGTCGTGTGGGCGTTAGGTAAGTTCCGCGGTTACGTAGATACTGCGAAGGTAACGGTTAGGACGGACCACCAGCCTTTGCGATGGCTAATGAGTCAGAGGTCACCTAGTGGTCGGCTGGCTAGGTGGGCCCTAACATTGCAAGAGTTCGACCTCAACATCCAATACACACCGGGACGCTCGAACGTGGTTGCAGATACGCTTTCGCGACCAGTTGGTGCTGAGAACCAAGGTGAGTGCGAATTATGTATGACAGTCGTTGACTTACCAAAGAGGAGTAGTGGTGATATCCGTAGCAATCAACTGTTAGATCCAGAGATTTGCAAAATCATTGAGGACATGGAATCTGACGAACCTTCTAGGGGGAGGCCATGGTCCGATCGTGGGTACACTATTTCCGATGGTATACTTTATAGATATAGCTTAGAGTCAGACGATGGAGAAGAATGCTGTATTGTTGTGCCAGAACACGAACGCAGGCAAGTGATGGCTGAACTCCACGACGCGCCTACGGCAGGACATTTCGGCGTGGAACGCACGTTAAGCCGTGTTCGCGCTAGATATTATTGGACAGGTATGCGCACGTTCAGTACTAACTATATAAAGGGGGCTGCTGACCAGAGACGGCGATCGCCGCCAGAGTATAAGGTAGGCGATATGGTGCTACTTAAAACGCAGGGGCCGAACGATGCAGGACGTGGACAGACAGCGAAGTTTATCCCACGCCGGGACGGCCCATACAAGATAGGCAAGGTAGTTAGTTCTACTACGTACGGGTTAGATAACGTACAGACCGGAAGAGATATAGGGAAATATCACGTTTCGCACCTCACGCCATTTACCGGCCAGATAGAGCCTCCCGTTAGGGAAAAACGTAAACGTGGTAGGCCGCGTAGATACCTAGACTAGCCCAACTGTGAGGACACTTAGTTAGGCTAGAGGGGGAGAGTGTAACGCGGGGTTTTTACAAACAACGGTGATCGCGGGGTATCGTGTCGGAACATGTACGATCCTGTAGGGCCGTGTTTCGTACGATCGTATAGTTTAGGCGCCCGCGCCCCCCCGTCTCCCGCGAACGCGTGAGCGACGGCGTGGTTCGACCAGGCAGAGAGCCGCGAGCGCCGAACGCGTAAACATCTATATCATAACGATCCTCCACGACTCTCATTTTCGCGCAGTTGTAAGATTTTATGTAATTTTTTGTGTAACTTCTATAACCATAAGTTTTCTTGTCAAACCTCAAGTGAAATAAATATATTTTTAATAGACTGTTGTGTACCTATTAAACATGTTAACAAATGGCGTTGACGACTGCGAGCTGACGTTAAACGAAATGTCAAAAGAGGCAAAAGTCAAAACAACTAGAATATTGCTAGAAAATCAAAATATTAAATATTTTGTTGAGATATTTATAACATTGCATTAAAATCTTGATTTACATTTGTAAATCGCTTTTATATATTAAAATGAATGTTTGCAGAATATGTTTAGCTAATAATACAAATAAACTTTCTATAAATGAAACAGAACAAGGAATATCTTATTATTCAATGTTAATTTTCATTACAAACATTAAGGTATTTTATTTTAGGTTTAATATCCGTAATCTCAAAAATAATTATCACTTTTAAAAATATTAAATCACAATAAGTATATTTTTCCAGATCATGAAAGATTCATATGAATACATTTGTCTAGCTTGTTGTAAAAAACTGAGAGATTCATATAATTTTAAATTATTAATTGAGAGGTAAGTCTTTTCTAGTCTATGAATATGATAATAATACTACTAATAATACTTGACTAATTATTATTTATAATACAATAATGAATACACAATCTATAAAATACTCTGAAAATGATTACAGATAAAAATCCACTCATACTTTTATCCTTTTCAGATCTGAATTACAATTAAATAGATATTTAAACATATTTAAGTTTGATAACATAAATGAAATAAAAGTCAATATCAGTAGATTTAAAAGCAAACCAAATAATCTGGGCACTGAATTTAAAATGTTTATCCAAGATGGAGAAAGTTATGCATCTTATAATAATACTTTTATAAGGAGAATCAAATTTGATTCAGATAAACCTGAGGTATTAGATGGAGAGAAATACAATGATTATGTAAGTATATTAATAAACAACAAAGCAGTTATAGTCAAACTATAATTATGATTAGTTTGGATAGGTAAAAAAACATATTCAAAAATAATATATAATTGGAAAATACAACTGAAGACTGATTCAGATTCACTAAGATTCTTATGGGAAGATCAGATAAGAATTAAGATCACTTACCTGATCGACTCTCATAAGATTGATAAAGGTAGGAGGTTTTAAGATAAACAAAAAAATTAATAAAAATTGACTTCAAAAAAAAATACTAAAAAGTAAAAAATAACTGATTGGTAGTTTTTATTTACTATACATACCTAATCAGTTATTTTCGAAGTTGGTGTGCTTTGATTTGTATTGGCTGGCACAAACCTCGGAAATATCTCAGGTATCTATAATAAATGAAAACTACCAATTAGTAATTTTTTTACTTTATAGTGTTTTTTTGAAGTAGTTCTTTTTAAGTTTTTATTTTTCCATTTCTAGTGTAGACAATAAACATAGTAGTAGTCAAGTAAGAAGAAAGTATGTTAATAAAATCAGATCAGGTTATGACACCATATCACTGCATTATTAACGGCAATAAACACTTGCAAAATTTCAAGTCAATATGACAATTAGAAGTAGGTTAAATTTTCATTAGCTATTTTTTCATCCTTAAGGGAGGTATATTTTTTATCAAATTTAAATGGAACCAAACTGGAAATGTACACTTTCAAACAAAATAAAATCGTCCAAATCGATTAATAAATGACGGGAGTTCTGAGGTAACAAACATAAAAAAATACAACCGAACTGAGAACCTTCTCCTTTTTGAACTTGATTAAAAAAGAATTAAATATACATGTCTACAGTCCTACTGCATATAATGTAGATTTAAAGATGTTTCTCATTAAATTTGTCATCAACCCACAGAATAATCATTCTACATTTTATTGTAAAGAGAGAGATAATTATGATGAAAATATCAAAACTGAACCTAAAGGTAAAACTATTTTTAGTAATCTATACATATAATAAAATTATAACCAAGCCGAATCTGTACATTAGATATTTTTTGGAAAATCTTATTAAAATAAACATTATTATCGATACAAAGGCCGAATCTGTTTATAGAATTTTTGTCTGTCTGTCTGTCTGTTACCGCATCACAGAAAAACCACTGGAGAGATTTTGATGAAATTTGGTATGGTGATAGCTGGTATCCAGATCAACATATAGGATACTTTTTACCGAGGGAAAATATCTCATTTCTGAGAAAAAATACAAAAACTTTAATGTAAAAGTATACCTACTAATATGTAAAAACCTAAGAATTTGGTTTTAGGTCACCTGAACGCGGGCGGAGCCGCGGGCAATGCTAGTTAAAAATAATTTGGAAATGTAAAGTTATATAATAATTACCTTACGAGATTTGAACGCGTGAATTCATTAGTACACATAATTCATCTTGGATTAGATAATAGGGTTCTCCTTATTAATATCCGTCATGGGGATTTATATTCCTAACAATAACACTAGTTGTCTGTACAGTGAGATATTATACACGTGTGTAGATACAAATGGACTCTTTATTCTTTTACTTTCAAGAGTTCAATGGTTTGATACCGACACAATCGTAAGAGATCAGACGCATAAGTATGTCTATGAGAGGCGATAACCACTCACCATCAGGTGGATCGTTTGTTCGTTTGCCGCATTTACTATAAAAAAAATAATACTTTATCTGTTCCTCGAAACACGATTGGTTTATAAGCCGCCAACTTTTCAAATTTTGTCCCATGACTATACTTGATCCAATCCGGTACTCGAACCAAAGGTCTATATATGTATATATATTGTAGATATGATATGCCGAACATACAAATAACTAACGAAATAGTCGAAGCTAACAAAAATAAAAAATACATAACATAACTAGACATTTTGTAGAAATCCTTTCAGATAACAGAAAGTATAATGTTTGCATAACACCAATATACTTAAAAGATGTAAGAGTAATGAAAACAACCATCACAAAAAATGTAGGCAAAAGGAAGCCAATTTATAGAAACGGGGAAGGTATATGTCCATATTGTGGGAAAAGAATGAAAATCACAAGGAAACACTTGCTATTGCACACTGGTATGAAAGCTTTTAATATGAATACTTATATACCTAAGTATGTAGTTTTGTTATTTTTATATATTTTATTATTGTTCATCGTTTCATTCGTTACCTAACTTAGCACGCAAGTCGCCATTTAATTTCAATTTTTCTGTTGTTTTATCTCCTAAACTATAGGTACATAGGAAAATAACCTTTGTATAGTGTCTGAACACTATTTAGGCAAATGATACTTGATTCAAATATAAAATCAACTTTATGTGCTAAATAGGTCTATCTAACAATAAGGTATAGACACACCTCATCGCGAACTTTCTTGTAGAACTGTTGGATGTGCATATTTGCGATAAGTTGTTTTCATTAATTTATTATAATCGTTGCATTAATCGATACAGCAACCAAGAAAGCTTTATTCGCCGACTAGTCCATATAATAATATAAATAAGTGCTAGCACAAATTTTAATACATAAAAACCTTTTTGGAGAAATGATCTATATTTCTCCTACAGTAAAAGAAAAAACTAAAGAAACATTTATCGTTACAGTTTTTTTATGATGCTTCATTCTTTTAATTTAAAAAACTTGCAATAAATAGGTACCTATGTTAAAATTCAGGAAGTATACTGATAAAACAATATCCAATACTTTTTCAGCTGAAAGAAAATTCAAATGTAATGAGTGCTCCAGGTCTTTTTATACAAAAAAAGATTTAGAAAGTCACATTAAATATCACTCTAAGGAGCCGGCTTTTAAATGTCACAATTGTATAGCAGTCTTTCAAACTAAAGCAACACTTGCAAGGTTAGAAATATTAATATTATCTAATATCAATAAAAAACTACAAATTGTAGTTAAATTTACATTTAATGATACATTTTTCACTTAACATTACTGTTTCAGGCACATGCTGATTCATACAAATGTAAAAGATTTTAAATGTCAGATTTGCAGTAAAGCCTTTAAATGGGTTAGTTTCTAATTTCCTTTCAATATTTTATTTCATTGTTAGAATATAAAACTAATGATTTACCAAAATATTATTTATTCCTAAAGAAAAATGGATTACTTCGTCATATGCAGATTCATAATATTTCAAGAGAATTTAAATGTGAAATATGTGAGATGTCATTTTCCACTAAATATGGTTTCCAACATCACACTCGAGTGCACACTGGAGAACGCCCCTATAAATGTGAGGTAATGGCAAATATTTATTTACTTATTTATACAATAAACATACATAATATAGGTTTTAATAAATATAAAATTATATATCAATTGTCAGACAATAACAACGGTTACCATGGCAACAAAACTTAATCGCTTTTTGGCTGTAAAATTTTTACCCAAATATTTTTTTCCAAATGTCCCAAAAGAAGTATAACTTCAAAAATGTTACTACCTTTAAAATATTTTAAAGTAGCGGTTTCACTAATAAAACTGCTCATTAGTTACTAAGTCGGTCAACATATGTAAAACCGTTTCGGTTCTTATACTAATTAGTTTGCGGTCTTCCTAGGTGTTCTGCTGGCGGAAACGACCAAAAATTTGTTTAAGAGAACAAATTTTTCCTCTGTTGTCTAAGTAATCATTCGAGTTCTTTGTAAGAATTCATGATATTTACCTTTTCTTAAGTAAAATTTCGTAACTGATCGCATCCGGTGATCTACAGGCTAATATTTAATTTGCAGTTTAACGTATTTCGCATATATTCGCATTGTATCGGTAACGTAATATACTAGCCAATACTTTCAGCTCTGCTCACGGCCATATAGTTACAAGAGGGATTTCAACAAGCATTGTCTGAAGAAGCACGGTGTAGTCATAGACCGGCGACCGGTACGCGTAATGAACGAACAGGTTCTTCAAAAAGAAAAGGCCTTAATGAAAAATCTCATGTTAAAATTACACGGAATGCCAACAGAAAACGATCCGCGCGAAGCCTTCAAAGGACCTCAAGGCGCGCAAGCTTTCACTAAAGCACTTAAACTTTTGCAAACTTGCCCATTACAAATAGATGTACATTTATAAATAAATACATATATTATACATAAGTTGTTTAAAATTGTTTTTTTGTCACACACATAGTGTACGGAGAGGTACTGTAGCTATATTTTTGTTTTTAGTAAGCTTGTAGAGAAGTTTAAATGTTTAACTTTAAACAAACTAAATCTATTTACATACAAGAGGAAAATACCAATGAATCACTATAAAATTCTTGAAACTCACGTAGTTGAGAGATAGGCTATTTACTGTATAGGCTGCTTGTAAACTTTTGAAAAATAACATCGCATGAAAGAAATCTCAATTTTGCCAATAGTACATCCATTCTAATATTATAAATGTGAAAGTGTGTTTGTTTATTCTTCTTTCACGTCGAAACGGAGTGACGGATTGGCGTGAATTTTTGTGTGGAGATAGTTGAAGCCTGGCGGGCTGGAGAGTGCCATAGGCTACTTTTTACCGCGGGAGATTATCTAATTCCCACGGGAAAACACGTTATAATACAATCCAAAACATTATTTATGATCAGAATTGCAACTTGGTATTAATGCTGTTCAATAAAATTAAATAAATACTTGTTTTGGCATTTTTCGAAATTCATCGTATAAGGGGGTTAAATAGAGGATGAAAGTTTGTATGAAACTACCTTTTCAGAGATTTTTTTGCAGTTTTAGCGCGAGCAAAGCCGCGGGCTCTGCTAGTAGGTACATACATATATATCACCCAAATAATCCCTAGCCTTCAAATGTTTGTACCATTAAAATATTATGAACCTGAATGACAATTGGACCCATGACCCAATCTCCTAATTGTTGTCCAAACCTATTTATTTAAGATATAGAAGAAAATGTTACATATTATTTTATGTTATAAAAGATAACGAGTTGGCGAAAACATCCTTTTCTTATAATGTTGTTAAATGCATTTACGCAAACCAAACCAAACGCAACCTGTATACATACTGGTGTTTCACATAACCAATTTACTAGCTAGAAAAGCCAGTACTACCCACAAAAATTCAAACAGAACCTCCCCCGTCTTGGGACGTCGCAGGATCGCTTACGCATTCTAAAACGACGCTCCGACCGCCGACCGCAGGTCTGCCGAAGTAGACTACACAACCAAGGGATTGCTCCCACGGTCCACTCTGCTGTCAGAAAAGTACCAGGAGCAACCTGCATAGTACACCGCCCACCGAAGCAGGCTACTTTCCTGTGCGTCTCTTGATGTCGCGCCCGGCAGGGTTGCCAGGCGCTAATGAGCCCCCAACCACGACAAGGTGAACACACATCGGGGGGAGTTGACGAAAATATCATACCGCAACAACAAAAGATTGTCCACTCTTTTCAGATTAATATTTCAGAATAATAATATTAAAGAGTGATGAAAAGCTCCCTTAAATATTAAACAATAGTGTCTTAAGTTTCAATTTCACCTGATATTTTTGCAATAGAACTAGGATCAATTACATCGTAGGTATTCTTTCACACTAATGGATCTATTCATATACCTTTCAATCAAATCATATATAAAAGGGAGGAAAAGAAACTTATGATCATTCACATTGCGGCGACCGGTCAAATATAACATCATGGTTAGTTTTTATTTTAGCAAATTACCTATGTCGTAAGCAATTCCTTGAATTGTTCTTAATTTACTCGTATTTACAGATAAAATTAACGCTAGCGATGCTTCAGAAATATACCGCAATACTGGTTACTGTATATTTATTAATTCCAACATTCGCTTTCAAAAAAACATCTAATGTAGATGAGTTTATGGTAGAGAATAAGAGAACGCGAATGAGGCAAAATTATGTTCTTCAAAGAGATTTAAAGAATGACGTGGACAATGACAAAATAGGTGTTACATACGTCACGGAACCTTTCAACCCGAACACTAACCCTGAGGAGTTACCAGCGCTGATAGTAGATTATGCGAATATGATAAGAAACGATATCATTTTACTGGACAACTCCGTCGAAACAAGAACCCGGAAAAGAGGAAATATAAAAGTAGAAAAGTATGACGTGAGTAATACTTTCTTAGATTTACGCGAATATTTGACATTTTAAATAAACCTATCTTTTCGGATCATTTCGCGAATTTATTTTGATTTTTGGTTCCAACCAAAAATCAAAATAAATCCGCGAAATATTCCGAAAAGATAGTTTTATTTAATATGACGTGAGTACCTTAAAACTTATTTGGTCTGTGCAAAAATGTAACCCAACATTCATAATATGTACTGATTTGAATTTTTAGCATGGCGGACTCAATGATATACCATGCAGTTGTGAACAAGAAAGCGTAAGTACATATATCAAAATTGTTGGATTTAATTTTTTTTATTGGACAGAATATATTTAGATTGTACTATTTTTATAGAAGGATGCAAAGTTATTGGGCGAAGACTACTTCCCTCCCGCAATAGAAACCAGGAACTGCGACGAACGACTCTGTCCTTCTCCTTACGGTTGCAAGAAGCGTTATCATAATGTACGTATATATTTGTATTGTATTCAGCCTTCAATACGACCCCGAGGGATCAGGCCATAGTCCACCACGCTGGCCAAGTGCGGGTTGGCGGACTTCACATGTCTTTCGAAAACTTGCTAGGTTCCCTCAGATATGCATTTTTACACTAGACATGTATGCAGGTTTCCTCTTTTCCTACACTGTAAGACAAGTAGTAATCATTTTAGAAATGATTCGCACATAAAAATATCAGAGGTGCAAGACCCAGGATTTGAATCTTCACTCGGTTTCCCAAGTGAGCGCGTTACCACTGGGCTACCACTGCCCTGCTTAATATTAATAAAGAAATAAAAAAACCGGAGACCACTTTAGCACTATAGTGTGAATGAAGTACTGAAAAAAATAACAGAAAATGCCACTTATTCTTTTGTCTTTTTTAACATTAACATTTTGTTAACGCACATCTTCGACCTCTAAGTCAAATTAATATGAGGTTAATTTCAAGGTTTGATTGAAATATTTTCTGTTATAGGTAACTGTGTTAAAGCGCAAGAGATACATTGAAGAACCTTCTCAAGAGGTATTGCCTGAAGATCTAAAAAAACGGTGGATAGCAATTAAGAAACCTATCATTGTAGGTTGTATGTGTGTCAAGGACTATTGATCCATAAGTGAAATTTGATCCTATTTTGCAAATATTCTGTAAGTAAACTAAGTCATTAATGTAACATTCTACATAAAGTGTAAAAAAAGAGTAAATAAATATCAATTTATTTATTTTTAATAACTTTATCACGTCAATCAATAACTATGATTACAAAATCTTAGAATACCTTTTAACCATTCATATTAATTCAATAGAATATAATTAGTAAAAAAATATTTAAAACTGCTTGTTAACTCAAATATTGAAATTAAATGTAATATACAAGAAGTCCATAATTCTGAAAGTCCATTTAAATGAAATAATAGCTCACTCCTCATAAAATATATTTTTCTTAACAAAGTTTAAACTTAAGCTTTATCTTATTGAAGTCAACTTCTACGAGTATCTAGCACATTCTCATGCCACATTGTCTTAATCGCTTAAAAATATATTACATTTGCTAGTGCCTGACCGAAACTAGCTTTTCAAAACGAAAGAAATTTATTTATTTTAGCTACATACCTAGTTACAAATACATAGTTACTCTACAACAAACAAACTACATAGTTTGTGGTCATAGAAATTATTTGATAATTGCTCAAAAAAATTTTTCATTCAATTTGATATGATATTTCGTAGGTAGGTAACTATTTCACTCAAAAAATTTAATTCCACTACACTCATCACTTCCGAAGGCAGCACGAAAGCTCAACATAGTTTTTGTTATTTTTCTTTGAAATCGAAAGTTCGGTCGGACACTAATTACTAATCTACCAAGTCTTGCCTTCTCTCCATGCTAAGAGAAGGACATAATTCACATAACACTTGTCCTAACTCACTTGACGTTATCACTAGCACTATCACTAAACACTGTAATCCGATGTATGGTGCACAGTTTCGTGTGCGCCAGGCGTCGGTACATCACCGAGTTGCGGCATAATATGAGCGATGGCCTCCCTAGCCTCTATCGTCATACCCATTTCGCGCCGTAATATATCTTCTGTCACTGTATGTATTGATTTGAATTTAATATTGATCCCGTGAACTTTGTACATGTGGTTGTTTAGATTCACTTTGTAACTGAAAGACACGCTGCAGACCTAGAATATAACAGAATTACTTTAGTAGTGTTTTGATTTGTTTCACGTTAAAAATATAGGTAATACTTAATAGAATTTTAAACATTATCAACAGATAATTTCGTTCATACATTTATTTTGTGACCAGAACATTTTAGCCGCAGAATAATAACAGGTAAACTTACACTAAGTATCATATCGTTTATTAAATAAATTAATTTTTATACAACAAAATGCTTTTAAACATAAGACAATATCGTGCAGAATTAGTAGAATAGTTGACTTAAAATCAATGTGCTATCAATTACGGCAATAAGATATCATAAAACTATTCATAATTTCCTATGACCTTACTCATATACTTGGGAAATTATTAGAGAAATACTAACATTGAAGTTAAAAACTATATATGTCTTTATTGAAGCCAAGTGAAGCACATTATATATAGCATACTCACTCATCTAGAGTTTTCATGTACCTACTTCAATTTCATTTTCAACATGATTACTTATTTATATTATTTATAGGGTATTGATTATTGTTTATAGGAAGGTTAACAGAAGAAACCTCTATATTATTCTATAGAGTTCACAAGAACTATTTCAAAAATATGTAAGGTCCACCAAGGACCACTCTTAGGTGCCACAGTAGCCTATGTGTTACATCGGCTCATAGTTCATCTATACTCACACACACACACACACACACACATACATACATATACACACATGAACAACCAAACTAGTAATTATAATATTAGTCTGATAGTAAAATGTTACCTGGCATGAGTATGGCCGCTCACCGGTGTGCATGCGCTCGTGGTTCTGCAGTTGGTGTTTCGCGTTGAAAGACATAGCGCAGGTGGTGCATTTGAAAGGCTTATAACCGGCATGGATGCGTAGATGGCGGTTGAGATCACAGCGCTGGAAATTATATCATAATAATTGTAATTCCTTTATAACTGCACCTTGTGTTCCTTTATAACGTGTACACTTTAAAACTATTCTATCACAGATATATATTATTTAAAGTTGATATTTAAAAAATATACTTACAGCAATAAACTTCTTAGAACACAAATTGCAATGAAATGGTCTTTCTCCTTTATGGATTAGGTTATGCCTAAAACAAACAAAAAATATCATCTGACCTTACATAAAATTATTTAGAATATTTAATACATAATATTAAACAAAACAGCTTCTACTCATCCCTGTCCCCTGGACAGACATGTGGTCAGTATGACTTATCATTGTGCTGTTTTGTTTACCTTGCTTGGTAAAGGTAAAATTGGATATGAAAAAACCTATTCACCTCACTAGTGACTTTTGTGTATAAAAGCCAGCTCCACACACTTCACAAATGTGGTCCTTCACTCCAGTATGTTGTTTAAGATGAACGATCAAATTACTCTTTTGTACAAAAGATCGCGGACATTCTGTACAAGTATATTTTTTCTTATCTGAAAAAATATATATAATAATAGCTATATTAATTGTAAATGTGAACTACGTAAAAATCCAAGTAAAGTGGGTGCCAACTTTTGGTCTTGCACCTCTAATATTTTTATGTTCAAATTATTTTCAACTAACGACTTACCATCTCTTTGCTAGGTGCGAGTAATTCCGTAATACTATATTTTCTTAATAACTCTATCGAAAATTCTAATGAAACGTAAAGTTGAACCCTTGAGTAATTTTTAAGGGTTTTCGATTTTCGCGCTGGAATCCTAAATATTTCAGGAATAAAACATATCCTACATGTAGCCCTATAATAAGTATGTACGTACGTAAAGAAAACAAATACGCTACCTGTAACTTTAATGATAAGAGTACGTGAAACGAAACCAATACAATTGCAATCTTCCAAAAATACATTGAAAAAAATTATCAGAAATTTTGACTACCTATGTACCTATTTAGGTACCTTATGATGTTCTCCTGACCGATTCCGGCTACGGCGGCCAATCTCATTGAAACTAGCCAACTGCGCAGGAGATATTATAGTGCTCAAGTGTACGCGCAGACACAACGTGCACTCTCTATTCCTTTCACTCTCATACTCCGGTGGGACGACTGCTCGACACTCGCGGTGAGAGTGTCGGCGCAGGACCGACGGCTTTACGTGCTCTCCGAGGCACGGGGGTGAAACACCGCCAACTTCCCAACTCCGGGCTGTTACTGAGACTTACTATACAGAAAGACTCAATAACTAAACTTGGCCCGACCCGGGAGTCGAACCCAGGACCTTCGAGTGTGCAGCCGTACATGCTAGCCACTACAACACCGAGGCAGATATATGTATTATGATATCGCGGACTTTTTTGTAGTAATATATGTATAAATATTTATGTTTTTCAATTTAATAGAACATTGCGTGGTACTGTCTGCAATGGTTTACGCGGCGCACGCGAGTAAAGCTCCCAGTCGACATGATATTCTCCGAAATCTTCAACAATCATTGTCATATTTCGACCAATTTACACAAAACCTAATGAACTATACACCTAAACCTTCCTCATGAATGACTCCGTCCATTGGTGAAAACCATACGAAAATCTGTTTCGTAGTTTTTATGTTTATCGCGTTCAGGCAGACAGACGCGGCGGGGGACTTTGGTTTATGATAGGTGTAGAAGATGTGATTATCACTTACTACTACTAATTTTGTGCATTAAAACATTATAATAAAATCTATAGGTTTATATAAAATATGATAGAATCTACATAGTTTTAGAAAGATTTTATTCTGCCAGCGAGGTGGTCTGTGGCCTAATCCCGCTTTTATTGAGGGGAGGCCAGTACCAGTAGTGAAATGTTAAGAGGGATGTATTAATATAGTTGTTTACTTAATATAAAAATTTAAAAAATTATTTCTCTTTTTCTCTTTGTGACAAAACAATTTCTATAACATTTCATTTATTGCTCTACATAATATATGTCATTACAGTAACAATTTCCAACTTTTATTACCTTCGTGAGTTGCTATATGATTGCCTAAAGTATATGTTAATATACCACATATAGGACATACAAGTTTTTCCCTCTCTTTTGTTATTGGTTTAACTTTTTTTGTTTTTGTTCTTCTCATAGCCATATCTCGTCGCATACCTCTCTCTCTAGGTTCAATTACTTTTCTAGTTTTATAATTAGGATGGACCTTCAATAATGTTGCATCTTTTGGTCTTCTCAAGAGAATTGGAGGTCCTTTGGTACCATTTTTCATTATTGGGACTGCAATGTGATGTAACAAAAAAATTAAATTGATATATATAGATAATTAAGATTACCCTTTTTCATGGCATTAGGATAAAAATTAAAAATTTATTTAATTTTAAATATTATTTGTTAAAAAACAAAACTTACAACAAGTTATTGTAGTAGCCCTTCTTGCCTCATTTATAGCCTCAGCATCTACTAATTCATTTTTATACTGTCTCACAACCCTTACTTTCCTCACAACAGGTTTTTTTGCCTTAAAAACTTTTATCTCTGATAATTTTGGCTTCTTGAACTTTGTTTTAGATTTCTCTGATGGAGGCACATATTCATCATCATCATCATCTTGAAATATGTCATCATCCAAATATTCAGTCTGAAAGTTAAAAAGAATATGTGTTACTAAATGAAAATGAATGGTGATAATAGACATTGTAATAATACTTACGTCAAGTCCTTCTAATTCAAAAGATTGCGGTTTAGTAGTAGTAGTGACATAAGACTTTTCAGATTGATCAAATGAGCTACTTGAATCAACTTTTCTTATGACAGTATCTGCTATAACAATATCCTGGCCTTCAATAGTATCCACTTTTTGGATTTCATTTGGATTATTAAGAATATCAATTTCCATTTCCCATGCAGGTTCCGACTTTATGGCTAGTGGTCCGATTTCACTTTTTATGTCAGTGAAAGAGTCAAATGCAATTTTTTTTGTAGGCACATTTTGATTAATTTTAGTAATTAATTTTCTAAGTTCACGATCTGATCTATATAATAATTATAAAATTGTTTAATTATGTACAATGTCAATATAAATTCCAAGTATTTAATTAAGTAATATGTAAAAATTTGCTTGTATTAATGACCAGTAACTTTGATTACAAATAAAGGACACTTATAAATTATAGTTGGAATTCCCAACTTACTTACCTTTCAGCAACACTTTTAAGTAGATAAGCCTTTTCCAATGATGTACAACATTTGTGACAAATTTTTTCAGGTAAACCATCATTAGATGAAACCTGGTAAAGTAATTGAGTTAAATATTTTGTACTTTTGTATTAAATCATCAAATCAAATATTATATAAATATTTTAAATGATTTAAGGTAAAATATAAATATATAATACCTTAACATCCGCTATTGCTGTTAGCATTTCAGCATAGTTTCCAGATAACTTATATTTAAAAAGGGGGCATAAAGGCCTTTTTTTCGACAAACATATCCGGCAAGACGATAAATCAATGGTGCTTACTCTTTTAGGTTCTATCATTTTGAAAATATAAACTTGTTATTTGAAACACTCAAGTGATGACCAAATCCGTAACTTTATCAACGGCAATACGACAGATATATTTTGATGTCGAATGTCGATTAAAAATACGACAGAAGATATTTTGATATTAAAGTTTTCTCTTTTCCCAACTCTAAAGGCTACCTCAGAGATATTACAGAGCTGATGACATTTAAAAACATTCGAATAATGGCGAATCTACTTCAAAGTTCTATTATCGAATACAGTTAAATCGCTTTCTATCGATAATTTAGAAAATATCTTTATGCTATGGATGAAAAAAACTGTTGTTAAAATTCAGATTAAATTTAAGTCTAAGTATTAAAAATTTACTTTTAAAATCTTAATTTGACTTTACAAAATCACATTTTCGTTTATCATTTATCAACCGCTGTTGCTTTTAATAAAATATGTACTCATATAAGAATACTATGTTAAATCGTTATTTTTTGGTTAAGTATTCAAACTTTAATGAACTTTATATTTTATAAAAATGGAAACTATAAAATAACTTTTATTACTAATTAATATAAACAGGTATAACTTATATTAAAATAGCATTCAATTAAGAACTTTTATGAACGCAAGTTTTAATAGCCTTTGGTTTTATCGAAGAAACGAACGTAACTAACTAAAGGTAGAATGACAACCATAGACCATTGATGATTTTAATTGTCAAATTTACAATGCGTGAGTTGCGTCCCACGATAACAATTAATAGGAACAAACAGGAATAGGAAACGCATCTTTCCTCTGTGTCTCAATTTTAATAATAACATTTATTAAACTAGCTGCCTTAAATACATTTTGAAATCTTAAATCCCTTAAATAATATAAATTTGTGCAGTGAAAATGTTATAATGGCTGGATTTGAAAATAGGTTGAGCCGTAGAAAAGGTAAATAAAAATATTTTCTATTTATTCAATTATTATAAATGTTGAAGCCAAGTAGTGTAGTAAAACACGTGTTTTCTATTTTGTCGCTCATAGTGAATATATTTAATTATCATAGTGTAAGAATTTTTATGAACAATCGATAATATTGCAGGTAAACATGGTGGCGATACATTTAGGTTAGATACTAAAAATAAAACACCTGAAGAGAATATAATAGAAATATTACAAGGTCTGTATTCAAAAAAATCATTCCACAATGATGCTTCACCAACAAATAAGAATTTGCCCTCAGAATTCAGATTAGGTTTTAGAATTCAAAGAAGTAGTTCTGACAGCTATAGATGGTCTTATTTAGAAGCATTAGTCACACTACTTAATAAAGAAGACAAAAATAATTTGGGATTTACATCAGATGAATTAATGACTTGGTAAGTAAATAAAGTGAATAAATTCTTTCTCCTAATAGTTTGTAACCTATGATATATATTTTAATATGTAAATGTCTGAATACAATGTTATGTATAATGTTGTTTTAACTTAAATTTCAGTATTCGCATAAGTCTTGTAGATGAATCAATAGTAATAAGAGCGGCGGCTTTAAGAGTTCTGCGATATTTAATAAGAACAGAGAGTGATGTTGCAACTTTCAACACATTGAAGTTACCATATCTTGTTATAAGGTATTGATGTTTTTATTCTTATTTTAACTAGCAATAAATTGATAACAATTAAAATATGTGTATATGGATATATCTTGGGCCTAAGCAAAATAAATACAAGATGCTTGTCATTTAGAAATACTTGATGGAGGATAGATGGGGGAAAATTGATGGGTACATTTCATAAATTAACATTTTTATAGACAGAAATATTTAATAGCTTTATAATTTACAATTAAAAGTCAAGTAAATTAAATGTAAAATTTACATTCAATTACAATACTATAAATATAAATCCAGGACAAGCATGTTTATAGTAAAACTACTTCTACATATTTCAAGTGCTGTGGGGGAATTTATGAAGGAAAAAAATACAAGTGCATTTGAAATTTTATGATTATAAGACAGTTATTAATGTAATAAAAAGTATTTACTAGAGATGTACTAACTAGTGGCCGACTAGTCGGTAAAGCCGGCTATCTGGCCATATTTATAGTTGGCAACTAGTCTGCTAGAAGCACCATCTAGTCGGCCCATTACTTTATTCTTACTACTATTCAAAAAAAAGGGATTATTACTATTAATGAAAAATATTATTTTCAATAAATTTTATTACGTATTTTTGTAGGTACTAGGTAGGCACTATCTGCTACAACTATATAATGCCTTTCAGACATCTAAAATCTTAGTCTCTCCCGGGACCATGATTGCTGTGAAGCATTTGACACGTCGGGAACGAAAAATTAAAATGAATCCGCAAAAAAATCTGAAAATAATATTATTAAAAACTAGCGATTTACTCTTGCTTCGCTCGAGTTCATTCATGGATTTTAATTTTTTTGTGCGGAACCCTGATGCTTTTTCTAAAGTAAAAGTAGCCTAAGTTACTCTTTATAGCATCAGCTATCTGCCAGTGAAAGTGCCGTCAAAATCGGTCCAGCAGATTTTTAGAGATTAGCCGGAACAAACAAACATACAGACCGAAAGACAAAAATTTAAAAAATTGTTTTATTTTTATTAGTACCGTATAAAATTTTATATGCATTTAGTAAAAAAACTGTTATTTTGACATTAAAAACAGATTTTTTAATTTTATTTATCTGTATATTAGTTGTAAAATATTCGTGTAAATATAAGAAAGTAATGACATGACTATATTTCAATTATGTAGGTACTTTTACTATAATACAAACTGTCTTAGCTATACAATTCATTGACGGTTTTATTTAAAAAAAAAACACAAGTTACAAAATGCAAAGTAAACACAAAATCTGTTCGTACATCTGCGCGACAGACATCGCGGAAAGCATTGATCGGGTAAGCCGACTAATCGGCCAATTAGTCGGCCTTTTTCTAACCGACTAGTCGGCTAGTCGGCAAAGTCTGTAGTATTTACCGTTATATTTTTGTATCAAATTTCATGAACTATTTTCAAAATATGTTAAGAGATTATAATGAAAACAATATTTTTCATTAATAATAAAAATAATCCCCCTTTTTTAAGAATAATAATTTGAATAAAGTAATGGGCCGACTAGTCTGTGCTTCTGGCCGACTAGTCGCCGACTTTAAATATGACCGGACACTCGGCTTTCCCGACTAGTCGGTACATCTCTGAAATATTATGTATTTTTTTTACTATAAAAGTCCCTTTTAAAAAAGCCAGGAGTCATCATGGAACCCTCAGTAAAAACGTAGTTCCCTACCTAAGTCTTCTGTTGGCTCATAAATCAGGACAAACATTTTTAACAAGTACTAGGGTATTATAAATATCAAGTTTTTTTCATTGGACATGTTGAAGAAAGGCCTGTAGACCCCTTAACACTGATAATCACCTGGTATCTATAATGTCGTCACATGGGGTGTACATAGTAAATAATAAAAAGTGTTGTGATGTTCAAAACTATTACACTTATTTCCGTCTCGCTCTGATTTGCTAAGTGTACCGAGTATAATATGCGTTAAGGATCTTTGTTTCAAAAATTCAATCTAGTTTTGTACACACGACAAGTTTTTTCGCTAACATTTTCTCATTTACGTACTATTATCCAATGTTAAGAATTATCATCACTAATTATATTATATTATTACAGTGTAACATGTTCTAAAACAAGTTATAAATTATTACTTGTAAAATCTTATTTTGTCAGTAAACAAACCATTTAACCAACATTAAACAACACTTTTGTTTGATATACACTTTTGTTGTAGTTTTAACTAAATCGAGTATGATAAATTATCAATAGATCAATGGACCTTATGCTTCATAATGAAGAAGAGCGTGCTCAAGCATTGAAGGTTGTCCGTCGAGTGATAGCAGTAGTGGGCGCTATAGAGCAGGGGCAAAGACGTCACCGTGCGGCGTACATCGATCCAGGGCTTCTGCGATGTCTCGCGGCTGTTGCTAGGGCTGGAACTGCTGGGGATGGCAATAGTAACAGATTGGCCAGGCCTGCTATTGCTACCTTAGCTGAAATATGTAAGATCTTACGTTTCTGAGTTATAAAATTTGCTGATCATTGTGATATGTATAATTCATTTATGATCCATTATGGACTTACCAGGATCAATTGTGTGCTAAAGAAATGAATACTATAAACTATTAAGCTGCTGTTAAACTGCCATATTGATTTGACCAACTCAGGTCACTTGTTTAGTTTGTTCAGTGAATGCCAAAAAAGCCCGTAGACATAATATCATCAATATAGTATTTGTCGTGGATAGTGTTGTATTATATACATTCATATCTCGGTGGTCTAGTGGCTAGCATGATGTACGGCTGCAGATCCGTAAGTCCTGGGTTCGAGTCGGGCCTAGTTTAGTCATTAACTTTTTCTGTAAAGAAATTCTCATTAACCCAAGCTGTTAGTTGGGAAGTCTAAAATTGTGATAGCATCATATACTCATACATATTTATTTTATTATTAAAAAATAAACCATATTTCAGGTGTTCTAAATCCAGACTTGTTCATAACTTGTGGAGGGGTAACAGCAGTTACTAGGCAGTTGGCAGAATGTGCCACGCCACGTATGGCGGAAGCGTTATGTGGTGTTCTGTTGCATACCCTAAACGACCCCAAGTCACGAATTGCCGCTAGAATAGACTTAACGTGTCTTAATTCACCATACTGTGATTTTCAATTTAAACCTGCCGGCTCGGACTCAAGCAGGTAATAACAAGTCTTTTATTTTGTATGAGTTATTCTCATAATGTTATACCTTTAGTTTTTTTTAAAGATGTTATTAAGAAAATTCAATATTAATAGTTGAAATCTATATCCACTAGCAATACACGGTAGGTGCGTTTAGACATAGGTACGTTTAACGGTTAGTATGGAATAGATATACTATATATATGTACATATACACAAGTATAGAAAAGTAGGTAAGTACTTCAAAAAACATATATATCCCACTTGAGCAATGATTGGTTCTCTATACAAATTTCCACGCCCTTTTAATCCTCTTAAGTGATGATTTCCGGAACAAAGATCTCCCCCACAGTGTACTTAATATCATTCAAATCTGTCTAGCTGTTTCAGCATGAAGGACTTACAAACACACACACATACAAACTTTTCCATATATTAACGCGGTCTCATTTTTTTTAGAGATGAGCGTGAGATGCGTTTCACATGCAGTCGGTTAGCTCTACTGTGCGTACTACGTAGTTGGCCCGGACTCTTGCACTTCTGCCACCCGTACAGTACCGGCGGCCTGAGGGCGCTGGTCGCTGCCCTGTACTTGCCCAGGCTAGAGGTCCGAGTGAGTAATGTTGTTTGTTTATTTTTTTCTATTTATTTATTATATACTAGGGACGTTTTACGTAGATAAAAATAGTTATCGTGAGCTTACCTAAGGACATAGACACATGCTATCGCGAACTTTTCTGTATATTGTTTTGATGTATCTCTAAAGGTTTAGCTAGCGTTAGCCATGTAATCATACGAAAATAGTTTTTTTGATAAAACACTGCCTAGGTCCGGTCACTTTATACAAAATGTGTGTTTACAAATTATATACACAAAGCTTCCTGGTTTCCCGCTCTATTTATTGGTGAAAACTGTATCAAAATCCGTTGCGTGGTTTAGAAAAAGTAAGCAGAGAAACACATTATTTACAGACATTTATTTATTGTAAGGATCTTTTAAATTATTTCTTTTTTTTTAGAAGGCTATATTGGACTTGCTTTATGAGTTGGTGGGATTGCCTCAGCCTGAGTGGACAGATGAAATTTCTGTAGCTTTAGATGCGGTTGACCCTTCAGATTTTCAAGTAAGCAATCTAAGTATTATTTATAAAAAATGTAATGTTACTAGTAGATAATGTAACTTGATTATATTAAAATGTTTTTTTTTTATATGTTTAAGTATTTATGTTTTTTAATTAATATCATTCTTTTAAAAGAATGAATTGATTAAACATAAGATTGACAAGGCCATAGTTGTTAAATACCTTGCATTTAGTTATATACAGTTATTATTTTTCGCAGGACTCTTGGCGTTTAAATGAGGGCTTCGTTGTAGCTGAAGGCACGGCTATTCTGCCACACCTCGGTGCCACTGGTTCCGATATACTTGAGATTCATCTTGCCCTTTTACTTCAGTGTTTCTTAGAGGTAAGGTGAATTAGAGGTTACAAGATTTATTATTTGTTTATTTTCATAATGAACTTGCTACTCCCCTCTGAAGCAGGAAGTCCCTGGGGTTGAATGGTTTAGGAACGCTTATAGTACAAACATACAGAGAAATATTTATTTTTATTTATATAGATAGATTACAAAACTTAATTTCACTTTCAGGCTGGACTTCTTGACGGATTAGCTGAAGTAATTGTGACAAGTGACACTTTTATATCGGTCAGGGCCACTGTACTACTCGGCCAGTTGCTGCATCTAGTACATTTGTTCCTCCCTCCACAAATATGCAGCGTGACCCCTGCTCTGCCCTCGCTCATAGCCCAAGCGTCTGCCGGGAAACCACAAGCCTTAGCTGCTGTCGCCGCCTTGAGACGACTCCATTCTATGCTCGAAGCCAGACCCGCCAGCAACAGCCTGTTCCTAGACCATATTATACAGTATTGCAGTGGAGCATATCAGACTAAAATTGAAGATACGTCAAAGAGTCGCAAAGAAAAGGACAACGCTAGCATGGCTAAGCCCAAACATCAAGATTTACATAGAGACAGTATTGAGTTCCTGAACGAATCTGATACGGAAATTGAACCGAAACAACGTCACAGTGTGGGCTCCAGAGCAGACGTTCCTATGAGAAATGTTAGTGCTTTAGTGAAAAGTAAAAGTGTCAGTTCAAGGACTAGTGGTGCAGTGAGTAAAGTGACCAAATCGACCAAATTCTTCAGTTTGTTCGAAAGAGACAGCGACAGTCTTATTCGTTCTTCCTTCGTCATGCAAAACAAAGATGGGAATACATGGAATTGGGAAATAATTCGGACAATATTAAAGGTTATTAATGTTTTACATTCTTTATATAACATGTTACTATATTATAATTTCCTTCACCATTTGATGTATATTGTATTTATAATGATACTAAGAAAATTACTGAAAATTAGTAGTCTAATATTTATGCATGCTTACTATGTACAAAAATATGTTATTTATCAAAACACATGTAATTTCTTATATATTGTTTCGCTTATATTACTTTCATAAACATTATTTTTGATTATAAATAAAACAACACATTGAGAGCTTAAAAATATGTGGCACTATCGGTAATATATTTTAAAGTAGTTGTTTGCTTTCAGGAGACAGAAAGTGCACCATTATTAAATTTGAACGACAGTGGGCATCGAGTGTGGGCCTGTCGTATTATAAATTATCTAAAACCATCGTCCAACAAGTATTCCCACACGGACTTGTCGACGACTTGCAATGGGCATTCAGCAACTCGCGCCGGCTGTCAGTTGATACGACATCTTTTAAGGCATAATGATGTGAGTATATTTTACAATAGTTGTATTAATTAAAAAAATAATCGGACTACTGATGATGATGATGTCCTCCTGACCGATTTCACTCACTGAGACTAGCCAGAAACAGGAGATATTATAGTGCAGTGCGTGTGTCGGTGTACGCGCAGACGCTACGTGCACTTTCTATTCCTGTCACTCCGAACGATGGGATGATACATGGCCAACTTCCCAACTCCGGGTAGTTACTGAGGCCTTTTTAACAGAAAGACTCAATAACTAAGCTTAACCCGACCCTGGACTTCCATACATGCTAGCCACTACACCACCCAGGCTATCTTCGGACTACTACTATAAATGCGGAATTTTGAATATATATATATATAATTACTATATTTCATATAATTACCTTCTAAAACAAATAAAATTATTTGGGTATTTAGTACACAGATTATGAGTAACACATGATATTGTTAGACACGAGAATGCACATTAGCAAAACGAGGATATATCGTTACTTGTGAAATATTTCATCAAATTACCAGTATGGTATATGAAATATAGTATGTATAAAAAAATATTCTCTGGTTAATTTAGTAGGTTAATTTGGTACTAGTTATACATTAACCAGTACTAAATTGATCTACTAAATTAACCAAGGTAGAGGATTATCAAAGATGGCTCCGGGACCACATAATATACAAGGGCGCATTGTAAGCATAACCTCATGAGATGCCTAAATGAAAATTTTAATTCATCTAAATATATCCTTTCTAATATTCTTTAGCTGAAAATGATCTACCATACAGATTGTTTTTTAGATTGATTCGCAAAGGCTCCTGGAGGAGTTTTTCAATGACGTCAGTCGACAAATCGAAGCGATCGAAACAGGTAGAAAGGCTCACGAGTGTCTGTTCAGTCCGCAGCACATGTGCAACACTATGTGCCAAATGTACTTCCTTTTTATTGGACAATTGTGTCATACACATTCTGGACTGAAACTCTTCAAGCAAACAAGGCTGTATGAAAAGTAAGTTCTCTCTTATTACCTTATTAGTATTTAAGCAATCAAATTGTAGAAGTCGATTTAAACTTACTTTTGAGTGTCATGCGAATTTAAATAAATAAATAATGTCCAATCCATCCATTATGAAAAGGTTTTAGTAATATGTGCATATATTTTATTATTAAAATTTTATTATTAATATTAAAATAATGATAATTGAAAGTTTAAGTTTTTTTTGTACTCCCAAAATGACTAAGACGATCTAACGCAAATATGTAACGAATTCTAAAAATTTAGATATACAGACTTTCGATTTTTAAAATCCATTTTCATAATTATTTATTTTTTAAATTGATTAAAGATTAAAAAATAAAAATTATCCGACGTGCACTAGTTTTATTATTAGTAGAACTTTTCTTCAGAATTCCATAACGGCCGTGACACAGAACGGTGTTGTAATTGCATTGTGCACTCTCACTCTACGAGAGTTTTTCTCTCATCTAAAATGTTTCCTTGCATAATTTCAGTTGGTATTTATAGTATAGTACCTGGGCCACCGAAGGAGTTTTTGGTTAAAAAGTACAATTAAAAAAAAAAAACTAATAACTTGAATAAAAAAAAAAAAAAACAAAAATAAATTATACCTTTGTGTTCGAACCCGGATACCTATGATTGTCAATCTTGCGTCTTTTTTTAAATTGCAGATCTGATTTTAACAATAATTTTATTTCTTTCCAGCCTTCTAGAACTATCAACTAAAACTCATCATAGCTGTTATGTTAAGTTAGTTATATCGAGCTTAGACTATACGTTAGATTCTAGTCCGAGGGACATTCTTGCCAAAACATTAACATGTAACATAATTGCTTCAAGACTGTATGCAACACAGTTCCTAAACGTATTATTGCGTGCCTCGCGGAAATCGAGAGATTTAGTCCGGAAAAAGACAAAGTTAAAGAAGAATATTGTTCATGACAATTGGAAGTTCTCACATAGGGATGAAATAGATTCTAATGGTGGAGTGGATATGGACACTTGGGCTCTGCAAATGTTGGTTGGACAAGTGAAAGACGAGTCCAAAGCCGTAGTTAAATGCGCCTTGACCATTCTAGAAGAAGCATATAGCGTTCCGGTAAGTGTGTTAAAATACAATAACAATCATTTTGTACTTGATAATCATTTCTTTTTCTTATTAATTCCCATATAGTAGAACAACAAACGCGATATTTGGTAGCTGCAAAGTACTAATTGAATTGATAATAATATCTATTAATAATTATAATTAATTAAAAAACATTATAATAGGTTGAATAAAAATATGTATATCAATTACGATTTTCATATTTAGTTTTATTCACTGTATTTATGAGTTATAAGGAAACAGGCAAGTTGTAAAATATAAAAAACTACTATTTTCCGGCTTATAATTTTTCTACATAATAATCACGTCAATCCTTTGCTCTCGTTGTTACGTAAAAGAAAAAGAATTCCCGAAATACACTCTCATTCATATGTATAATACTAGCGACTCACCCTCGCTTTCCTCGTGTTTGTCCCTAGATGATTTTTTAAATTGACATATCTTTTTTTATTTCTTAACAGATTGAAATAAAACAATTACTACATGTAAAGGAAGCCTACCACAATAAATTAGTGAAAACCGCACTCAAATCGGTTATGACATTTCTAAGATTAGCGCGAACAAACATACAGACGACCAGACAAATATTCTAAATATCATTGTTTTCGGTTCTATTGCGTTAAAAAAGGACCCCAATAATATTTTTTCTCATTTATCGTCCATGTATAGATAGCGATCAGTTGCACTTTTATATGAATAGTTTAGTAAAGATATTAAATATAAAGTACATTTTAGGGTTCCGTACCCAAAGGGTAAAACAGGACCATGTTAATAAGACTTCGGTGTTCGTCCGTCTGTCTGTCTATTTATCTGTCATCAGGCTGTATCTCATGAACCGAGCCAGCTAGACAGTTGAAATTTTCACAGATGAGGTATTTCTGTTGTCGCTATAACAAAAAATACTAAAACTAAAAAAAAAATATTTAAGGGGGCTTCCATACAACAAACGTGATTTTTTTGCTCGTTTTTGCCCGATATTGACAACGAAAACTTGAAATATTCCCAGAATATTTAATTGTATATTCACTTTTAAAAAAATTAATGTAAATTAAAATAAAACAAATATTTAAGTGGGGCATACAGCAGACATGATTTTTTTGCCGTTCTTATAGATGACGGTACAGACTCGCAATTTTATTTTTTTTAAATGTCACTCGTCAGATGTACATGGAGAAACTGATGACGATGCGAGACACGCTGCGCCAGAACTGCCGCGTGGAGCGCGGCGCGGCGCCGGCGGCGGCGGCGGCGGCGGGCGACCGCGCCTACCTGCTGTGGCTGGGCCTGGAGGCCACGGCCGCCGCGCGCGCCGCCGACGCCGGCTCCGTTGGCTTTGTGAAGAAACATCTGGACTTTTGGAACAAGTCTTATAATTACAGGTGAATAATAATGACTTATAGCTTCGCTCGTGTTCGTCCCTAGGTACGTTTTAGGTATTTTTTTGAGCGGAACCCTAATTCTTTTTCTAAAATAAAAGTAGCCTATGTTACATCAGTTATCTTTCAGTGAAAGTCTCGGCAAAATCAGTCCAGCCGTTTTAGAGATTATTCCGAACAAACAGATAGATAGACAGACAAAAATTTTAAAAATTGTGTTTTTCTTATAAGTACCGTATATAATTTCATATGCATTTAGTAAAACGCTGTTATTTTGACATTATTATAGACACTTCAATTTTATTTATCTGTATAGATGATACATTCTTGGATTGACGTAAATGTTGTATAATTTAAAAATTAAATTAAAAACACAATAAAATTTAAAAAAATAAATAAATATAATTTTTTTTTTCTAATTTGTTACTAATATTATTAAGAGCTAAAGTTTGTTGATTAATGCAGGAGGAAATTTTTGGAACTACTGATCCGGTACTGAAAATTGTGTCACTTAATAGGAAATTATATTACCGCTGAGTGTTATAGGCTGTTTTTAATGCGATTTTATTTTAGTGTCACAAGTCATAATAATTTTAAGTTTAATTTAGTGGGGAAAGTAATCATTTTGAAATGCAGACCATATTATTGTAACTTGTAATAACGACACGTTTGGCTCAGTTTGTAGTGACCTTACTCGCTGTACAAGCGATCGCGGGCTCGAGTCCCGCTGGAGGCATACATTTGTGTGATGAGCACGAACGTTTGTACTCCAACCGTGGGTAAATATTTATAATATGTATGTATTTAAAGTTATATATGTGTAGCATGGTGCCGTGCTGACTGTTCGCCAGGTACGTGCGCCTGGTGGAGGCCGTGGTGCACGAGGCGCTGACGCCGGCGGAGGGCAGCCGGCGGCCGCGCTCGGCGCGCCGCAGCGCGCGCCCGCCGCCGCACCTCCTCGCCGCGCTGGCCGCCGCGTGCCGGCGCGGCGCGCCGCCCGCCTTCCTCAAGGGGCTGCTGGCTGCGTGTCTGCCGCACCATTATAAGGTCACTACTGGAGATTTGCTTTCGTTTAATTTCATTTATTGTGAGTAGCAAATATTGTGTTTTAATATATGACACCTTTTTTCTATTAAGCTATAGATAGTAGTGACTATATACAATTAGTGAATTACTCGAATATATGTATGTGAATATTGTCATGGAAATAATACTTTCTTAGATTTACGTGAATATTTGATATTTTAAATGAAACTATCTTTTCGGATTATTTTGCGACTTTTTTTTTATTTATCTATTTATTTTTTTATTTTTTTGCGGATTTTGTGATTTGAGAGACTAAGGTTATAGACGTCTTACGAGGTTTCCCGTGACAATGATTGCTGTAAAGCATTTGAAACGTCATGAACCAAAAATCCAAATAAATTCGCAAAATAATCCGAAAAGATAGTTTTAATTAAAATTTTATGGAATACTTTGGCGGGAGCCTATATCCAGCAGTGGACGTGTTTTGGCGTAGAAGACGATCACAATTAGTGATGTATCGTATAAGTTTTAAGCACGGCCATAGTTGATATAGCACTGTAAAAGATTAGATATTTTAAACGTAACAAAGAATTGGTCTGCTATAATTTACAAAAAAAATTCAAATCATGCAGGACCGATAAAATAAAAATATATATAATTACAGGAAATTACTAAGTTATATAATTTTCTTAACACGTAGATTCTCCAACGGAAGAAATGTGTAACAGAGCAAGAAATAGTTGATTTAAAAGCATCTTTATGGGCAGTCGGCAACACTGCGGTGACGCCGCAAGGCTTGCAGCAGTTGATGAATTTAAGTAACGGATTTCTAGAAGATTCTGTTCCAATACATATAGTGAGATTAGCAAAGTACAGTCCAGTTTATTCTGTGAGGGCGACTGCGTTCTATGTACTTGGTTTGATCGGAAGTACATATGATGGTGCCAATTTATTGGCAGACCTTGGTAAGTCAGATTGTCTATTTATAGCTTCACGCTTGCGCTTACTGCTAGGTACAAAAAAGAAAAAAATGAATAAATTAAATACTATTAATACATAAATGACCTTTCCTTAAATCTTTATTACAATGCCTAATCAAATGTTAAATATAACAAATAACATGCATATTTTTCCTGAGTATTCATCTAATAACTTTTGATGTAGAGACATATTGTATTGACTCTACTGAAAGCCAGATGAACACGAATTATTATTAATTTGTCATTATTTTAATGATTTTACTTAATTATTCAGGATGGCTGTGCGTGAGACACACCCGACACGACCAGTTCCCAGTGATACCAGATGAAAACTTCGCCCAGATGATGGATCCCAACGACAACACCTTCGTGACGTCACCCGACCGACGCTTCTTCGACATAGACTTGAGTGAACATTCCGATCACACAGACCAAAGTATGGCAGAAAGTATACATTCGGAACACGCGAAACTAAACCGAACGATAGGCTCGATATCCGTAGAGCAAGAAAAGGACCAAGATGAAGTCGACTTCAAAACGAACTTTCTCGAACGTCCCTATAAGAGAAAATCGCATACGCTACCCACTCAGGGGTCCAATTCTCATGAACGTTCGTTAACGGAATCTCGAACGGTCGATATTTTAAGTACGAGTTACGAGCGCGGTCCATATCGAATGGAGAATAAATTTGGAAGAATGAATTCCTTGGACCACACTCATGAAGGTCGTGTGCGAAATACGAGCGAGTCCAGTACGAGCGGTGTGAGCAGTTGCGACTCTTTCCTCGGAAAGTATACTATCCCGTGAGTATAATAAAAAAAAATGTTTTTAATGAGAAAGGACGTCGTTGTTGCTTTTTATTAATTTACAGTTACGTGCGAATTTATGAGCGTATCTATTTCTATTTGTTTCAAAACGACTACTAAATTTTCTCGCTTCTATGTTATTTTTTTATTATATTTATAATATGTATGTATTTAATGTTATATAATATGTGTAGTGTATCAACTATCTGGTGTCCATAACTCAAGCCTTGTAACCTAACACGGAAATAGATGGTGCTGTGCGTAAATGTCCCAACATATTTATTTTTTCTATTAATACGATCTTTGTAGTTAGTGTATTATGTATTTTGATTCTAATATAAAGTCTCACCAAAATTGAATCATCTACTTGTATGGTCTCTTCTTCCTCATTCATATTTTTATGAGCTTTGAGGAAAGACAACGAACACACTAAACCCCTAAAATGAGATACTATTCAAATGTAATAAACTTATTGAATGAGGTTTTATTCTAACAAAAACCAACTAAAACTAATCAAACAATATAATTTTTTATATCATCGCGTTTCATAATTATACAATAATTACACTACGGGACTCGGGAATTCGTAAGTGGTAGTCTGCCGTGACCACGGCTGGTGCAACCCATTCGAAACGTCGGGAACTAGGTATATAGCCACTTACGAATTCACGCGTTTAATGACTAAGTTCCATAGTGTAATCTATACAGATAAATAAAATTGAAGTGTCTGTTTGTAATGTCAAAGTAACAGCTTTTTACTAAATGCATATGAAATTACATACGGTATTTATAAGAAAAACACAATTTTTAAATTTTTTGTCTGTTTGTTTGTTCCGGCCAATCTCCGAAACGGCTGGGCCGGGATTTTGACGGGACTTTCACTGCTAGGTAGTTGATGTTACAAGGAGTAACATAGGCTACTTTTATTTCAGTAAAAGAATTAGGGTTCCGCTCAAAAAAAATGAACACGTACCTAGGGACGAACCCGAGAGCCGCTAGTTATCGTATAACCAAACAACACTTGCCCGCAGCGACCGCGTGCTGAAGCTGAGCCCCATCCCGTCGTCGTCGAGCCTGCAGGCGCGGGGCGCGGGCCCGCCGCGGCCGCGCGCGCCGCAGCGCCGCACCTCCACCTCCAGTTAGTGCTGTGACATCGTCGTTGTCATTAACCTTGTACACTGAAAATATATTTTTTTATTACCTAAATCTGAAGTGGTGGGAGGGGTCCCGCGCTACAGTTTACGTAAAAAATGCCACGATGAGGAAAACGACCGATAAAAAAAGTACTAGACCACTTATCTTAGTTCCGTAAACAGTTTTTATTTCCTTATTAGTTTTTCTATTTGTATATATATAATACTAAAGATAATATTTAGTGTAAAAATAATGGAAGTGAAAAGAGTAAGAGGTAATAAGAAAAACATTTTTATACATACATAAAATCGACTTTTATTTTTATTGAATTTTAGTAATTATGGTCTATAAAAGGTTAAATATGATAAAAAAATAAACATCTGTTCAAGTTTTAATCATATCTATCAGACACATCGCAGAATAATAAAGAGTCTAAATAATTATATTTCTAAAAAAAAAAACAAAAACACGCAATTGAAATCATAAATAATTGAATTAATTATTGTTAGATTTTCAGTTAATTGATAAAAGAACAGTTATAAATATTACATTTAAAAAAAAATATAAAATGAGAATAAATTATGACAATTATGAAATTATCAATTTAGCTTTAAGTCATGATTTGGAATTATAATCACAGAATAATCAAATAATAACCTTTTAACTAACCCTTGTTCCTTTATGCGAGTGTTTTTTTTTCGGATTCGGTTACTATCGGATATGAAATTCGGATATCTGATAGTACCATTTATGCTTACCGAGCTCCCTGAGTAGTATCGCTGGAATGAACTTGGAACTCTGACTAGGTGGAGTGAAATAAAAATTGTTTTTTTCTTAGCTTGTGAGTAGAGTTTGTAGCTTATAAAAAAACAAAATTTTTGAAATAAAAAAATGTTTTTACTCAACATTTTGTTTGAGGTGGCCCACATTGATTTTTGAAATAATTAATTTAAATTTTGGGTATGAATGGAAAATATTTACCCAACTTTCACTGTAATATTGCATTATTGTAATTTTAAAAAAAAGTTGAAAAAATAACATGTTACTTTTTTGTATTACAGTGAAAGTTGAGTAGAAAATTACTAAATTCGTCAATTAATGTTGAATGTTTTCAAAGATGATAATTCGAAAAAAAACATTCTTTATCCAAACCAAAAATTTAATTTTTTTTAAACCAATGGGCCACCTTAAAATTTTAAGTAATTTTTTTTTATTTTATAAAAAAAATTATAAGCAAAATATTCCCCCAAGCTAAGAAAAAAATCTTTTTTCGCTCCACCCTAATTCTGACTTCATTTTACTATTCATAGTATCATAAAGTGTCATAGCTATTAATTCAACAGGTTACACGGCGACCGACGTGGGCAGCTCGCCGCCTACTGCGATGGATTTGAGTGGATATGCAACATTACAATCCTTGAATAAACACAGAAGGTATACATTTTATACTCCTCCCTCATAACTTTTAAGTTTAATAATAATATATAACAATTAATTAAAAAATCTTGCTAATAGTATACCTAAATGTGTGTTTTACCGCTCTACTTTCACTTCGAAACTACGATGACGCAAAAACGGATTTATGTGATATTTTGTATCGAAATTTAGGAAAGGGAATTGGGGGGCTGGAGATTGCGACATATTTATTTTTATCACAGGTTGTTTATTGCCACGGGAAAATACTTTATAAATTGATTTCAGCAGCATTCTTGTATGAAAATGATATAAGACCTCGATTATCGACTTGTGTGACTATAGTAAATACATGTATTTTTCAGGCCACATTATGTGTCAGAAAGTGCGGCGATGTGTTCCAGTGATATCGACGTCATCAGTTGGTTGCCCTACGACTCTAATCAAAGGGCAAAGCCCTTCTCATCTCTTCGCGACAGGGCCAAGTCTACGAGAGAGAGGATGACTAAACTTAGGTATTTCTGTCGACTTATGATTATTTTTATAACGAAACTTTTTCAATTCGAAGATCTCATTGACAAGTCTTTCTATTTTTCGGGACTATTTTATTTTATATTAATATTGAGTACTGTTTTAACACTCAAACAACAACAATTTGAAATTAAGTCTTTCTAAATAAAAAAAAACATTATATTCAAGTTCGTATTATTTCTGCATTTGTTCACTTTTTAATAACAAAAGTTTGGCGTTATCAGTTTGGGCTTAGTTTCAACAATGATGTACAATAATGAAAGCAACTGAAATTTTAAAATAAATATTAATAAAGTTTAAAATAAATAATAAAATAAATAAAATTTAAAATTAATATTAATAATATTCAAAATATAGTTAAGTTAATGTAAAATGTGTCAATTGGCAATTTTAATGTCTTTAAAATGTGTTATTTTCAACAGTTTATTAGAGTACGACTGGAAACCGCTCACACGAGGCGAAAGTTCCCAACGAATGTCGGCGCCCTCTAACAGCAGCGTGCCGGCGATACCGACCGGGCCGCGGCCTCTATATTACATGGGTATATGCTTACCGCGAAATCTTCTCGACTTGTTTCCTATGTGAGTATATTATTATATTATTTTACCACACATGACATGTACTAGACCAGTGAAGCCCTGACCAATTTTACGTCGGGCAGTCTCATTAAGATTAGCCTCTGAGTAGGAGATATTATAGTGCACTATAAGTCCATTCGCGTTAAGAAAATAGTGAGTCATCAAGTGTAACGGAAGGTAAAGATGTATGTATGTATACAAAGTGGGAGTATTTCAATTCAAATTCAATATTTCAAAAGATTTAGTTTAATGGATCAAAATCAACTCAATCAAATATTGAGATAAGTAAGACTTGTCTCAAATCTTGCTCTGAGATGATAATGACTTTATTTTCATTTGAGATAATTAATAATGGTCCAATCGGAATCCCGCTTGGGAACAAAATATTGAAAACCTTAAGTTTTATGATTTTAAAATGTTAGCAGGAATATCAGGAATAGAAATTCGTAAAATCCTCCACATGGCACATACCCACCTACACCCGAGAAATGGGGGGATGCAAAGCGTTGAAAAATTAGTTTTTTTTTTTCAATTTCCGGCTTACTGTGATGTTCTATTGAAAAATGTTTTCTGCAAAGTTGTTGGTTTAGTAAAAATCTATAACTTTTATAAATAACACTTTTTACAATAACCTCAAAGTTTTCGAGATATTTGCAAAAAACTCGGTTTTTAATTTTTTTCTTGTTTTTTATTTTTAATTTCTAGAATAATCTTTTGATTTCCATGAAATGCCGTCGTATTCATGCCGTACTTGCTAGCCACTGGAATACCGAGGCAATAGACTAGTACAAATATATCATGCCATACGAAGATGTTTTGTTTTGTTCTGCCCCAATTTGAACTATTTTGTTTTGATCTTGGGCTAGTTTATAATATTTTGTTTTATGTGTATCATATAGCAAAATGCAAAGTTTAATAATATTTTATTGATTATTATTAATTATATAATAATAAAATTTCAGTGCCAATGATAATAAGAAATAACTGTTTGTTTAACGAGGTTATTTATTTTATATTACCATCATAATATGTGAACAGTATGAACAGATTCATAGACGTTTTAACTATTAAATAAGAAAAAGTGGTGATTATGTTATAGGGAAAACGAAGGAAAGGAGGTCGAGGGAGATGTGGACAAGAGTGGAAATAGAGTTGGGTCCTATCTCGGTGACTATACAGCAGCGGACAACCGCACGCGTACTCCCGACACTCATAACCTGAACATACACAAAGGTAAATCCATAATAAGACATTTTTACACACTTTTGTTAGCTCCTTATAACTAAAAAATAAAAATATTTAATAATAATTTAAAAAATCAAATCTTGGAAGTCAATTTAAACGTACTTCTTACCTTCTTATCGAAATGAAACTGTCTGTACACAGATCACATAATACTATACTAGTAGAGATGCCTCATCCCATACAAAGATGGACAGCTCTAATTCGGGCTATTCTTCGAGATGTTTTTGTTCGCTTGAATAGATAATAGATGTCGTTGATTCGCAAATAGTTAAAACTGTTTTATTCTATAAATATGTGCAAACTAACGTATGGTAAATATTGTAAAATTCATCCTCCATTCGAATGATTTTTTTTTGTGGTTTTAACAATTTTTAACATACCATAAATTATTTATAAAAATTGAAAGCGCCATCTGTTAATATACACTACCCACCCATCATCTGATGGATCTAAAATTACACAGATTTGATTTACGAGTGCATTATTTCGTTTCCCTTCACTTGGAATATTTTTTAAAACAATAATGCACCTTTTTGGGAACTATTTTTTTATCTTTTGTTAATTTAACACAACTTTAATAACAAATCGATACATGTAACGTCATCTATTGACAATTATTTGAACTAATTTTTCTTTATTCGTGATAAGACGATGGTTTGTAGTTCGGATGACAATACTATTATTTAGTATCTTGGACCTGATGTAATAATGGAATCAGGAGGTCGATAGCAGAGCATTTTAACGGCTTCTAGTAAGCCGCTCTTGTTTGGGCTTATTTGGTTTTTTAAATTTGCTATACATTAACGATCGTCAAGAGGGCATTTTTTTTGTTTTTTTTTTTTAACTACAATTGTAATTATTGTTTATTATTTATATAATTTGCTGAAAGATATACAATTTTTAACTTATTGTAATTTATAATAATATATTTGTGAGGTAACTGAAGAGCAAGAAACTGGAATATTGAAGAGTTTATTTAAAACTTTCCTATTTTGCAGATATACACACAACGTCAATAACCACTAACATTCGTACAACGTCGAGCACGTTAACTACTACAACCGTAACAAACACTCCCGAACCAAAAATACGAATCGAAAGTACCAAAACTAATACAGAAAGTCCTAAAATCGATAGCGAAAATAAGAAAGAAAAACAAATCGATATAAATAAGGAAATCGATTCAAAGACGGACAAAAAAGTGGAAAGTGTTAAAGAGGATTATTCAGTCGGTGGGAGTGCGAGTCGTGTATCGAGTAAAGTGTGGAGGCATTCAGCGGCCGATTGTCTCGCGTGTGTTAAGACGAGGCCGCCATCTTCTCACGAACTACGTGAGGCTTTCTTTGCAGGTAAAATCTTATTTTATATATTTTTTGCTAGTAAATTTAGTGGATGTGTGAGCATGTAGGGCTGCAGCTCTGGAGATCATGGGTTCGAGTCCCTGATAAGTTTAGTTATTGAGTTTTTTTTTAAATTCTCTCTAATAGTATGGAGATGGAAAGATGGCAATGTTTTTTTTACCTTTTGCACTTGCTTCGTGGAGCACGTAAAGCCGTATATAAATCTTGTGAACCGGAATAAGAGAGTGAAATGAATAATATCTCCTGCGCAGTTGGCTAGTCTCAATGAGATTGGCCGCCTTGGCCGGAATCGGTCAGGTGGGCATTGTATATTTTGCAAAATTGATGTTTATGTTTATTATTGGTATCTAATAAGTAAAATAATATTATAGGATTAATACCGAAAAGAGTAGTAATACTAATTGTACTACAATACTAAAAGTAATTAAAAATCTAAAGAATAGAAACAGAAATATATCTATGATTTTTTTTTTTTCAGCTTCTCAAATTGAAGGATTGCATTTGACAGTACTATACGCATTTTACATATAATAATATTAATATAATTGTTTTTATTCAGGATTGGAGAACCCTGCAGTAGAGCCTACGGAGGGAAGTAGTGCGCAGGCGCAACTTCTACAGCATGTGCTCTTTATGTCTAACCCCATACATCTCAAACAGGTCAGTCAAATCTTACACTACAAATTTATTATATCACTAACGACTCGCCCTCGCTTCGCTCGGGTTCGTCCCTAGGTTGATTCCCCATACAAACTTTCATCCCCATTTTCACTCCTTTAAGGGATCATTTCCGGGATAAAAAGTATCCTATGTCCTTCCCAGGGTCTCAAACTGTCTTCTTACCAAATTTTATCTAAATCGATTCAGTAGATCCAGAGATTTACTCCCCTTACAACGTCACAAACTCACAAAACAATCTCACAAATTTTACCTCTTTATAATATTAGTATAGATAATATAATAATAATGGGATTAATTAATATATTAACATAATTGGATTTACAGGCACGGTCAGCTCTGCTCGCCCTCAAGCAGCGCCACCCGGACGTGTTCCGCAGCCCCTGCGTGTACTCCGACGTGTGCGCACTACTATCGAGGGACACCTACATGCTGTATGCGAGGCGTATCCTGCAAGAACTGTTCCTAGACACCAACTTCGATTGCTTCCACACAGAACCAGCCGCCATATTGGCCCGGCACCCACCTCTCACACTGCAACCTACGATGGAAATAACCCAATAGCTACTATTTCTATAATACTAACACTGTTGTGATTGATGACTAAAAGGTAAATAATTTTATATTTAAATTCGTAAAAAAAAATCTCTAATACGCGACCCTGGCACGTTTTTCTTCTCAAGTAATTTATATTATTAATGTTGTAAATAACTTGTTTATGTATATGAAATTGTATATTCATAATTCTACTTAATTATGTACACATATCAGATGATATGTATACATTGTAATTTGGGCCCTATAAAATCGTTTCTAATATATTTTTAGTTTACTTAAAAAATCAAATAGGAAACCACACAATATATAGAAAAAATACAATTCCATTTATAACTAATAATGAGTTATTAGAATCTCAAAATTTACTGTTCTTATCAATTAAAGCTTTTGTCATAGTAAAAAATATTGTCTTTATTGTGAAAAAAAATGCAATTTAACATATAGTATATATATTTACTTTCTTATCTATCATGTGTCTGTACGTAAGTCATCATTATTATACGGTACTGTTTGTTGTGAATATACCCAAACATAATTATCGTCATAGTATTAATTAAAACATTGCCTACAAATATTAATTTTTAAGAAAACCTTTATTAGAATAAAATTGCATAACTAGAAAACCAAAAAAAATATTGATTTTTAATTTCATTCCTTAATTAAAAAAGTAAGACTTAAAAATGTATGCCTTCCCATGAATAACTTGTAGTTTTATTCTAAAAATGGTTTTATATAAACATGAAATATTTATAGTATTTGTAGTCCTATAAAAATAAGGTTCAAATCGTAAATACTTTCATGAAATGAGTCACAATCACATACATACAATTACATAAAATATAAAATTTGATTTGCCAAACCATGACATGTAAGGAATTAATTACTCTGTGTAAACTCAATGAATTTTAAATAAGTATTGATAATTTTCTATAGACAGTATTTTGGCTAACATAAAATAAAACCGTTGATTATAATTCGAATATCATTAACAACAATAAAAATATAACAATGTTATATTGCCTCCATTAATTATTTTTCACATTGTTTGACGACACGTTTGGCTCAGTTTGTAGTGACGCTACTTGCTGTGCCAGCGGTCCCGGGTTCGAATCCCGCTGGGGGCATTCATTTATGTGATGCGCACGAATGTTTGTAGTCCAGTCATGGATGTTTATATTTATAATATGTATGTATTTAAAGTTTATATGTGTAGTGTATCAACTATCTGGTATCCATACCACAGGCCTCATAGCTTACCATGGAACTAGATGGTGCTGTGTGTTAATGTTCCAACATATTTACATTACAGTATATTTGTGCAAAAAAATAATAATTGAGTCAATCATTCTCCAAGAGATTTTTGTATTAATTATAATTATTTTTATGTTTAATTCTACAAGACCCATATTACTTTTTGATTGTGCAATCTAAGTATCGTTTGTATGTCTACCTCTTCCTTCTTAAATTATGTGTAAGTAGTAAAGTATAAACTTTTATATATTCACTTATTGGTCACTTTATTTTGTGTGTAGATAGTAGATTGAAACAATTTTATGTTAGGAGCCATATTTAATTGTAAAAATAAATTGTCGTTCTGTTATCAACTTTTTTTATGTAACACGAAAAAGGAAAAAAAATGTGAATGACAGAGTAAATAACTTCCTTGCACTTAAAATAATTGTCTGTGAAAAAATCGCCGTTATCTATGGCAGTTTGTGATTAATCTATTATTTAACTTTATCTTAATGATTATTTATGAAAATGTTAATGTGTATATTATTTGAACTTATATGAAAGTCAATATTATCTCGATATTAAGTAAATAATGAGCTTTGTTTTGAACTTTAGAATTATATGGTGTCAAGTGAATGCTTCGTAATTTAAATTACTTGTTAATTTGTATAATCTCAGTATATTAAGATGTTATTACCTCCTCCTTTTTTTTTGTTTTGTCTTATGAAAATCAACCACTGCCCTTTAAATAATTTATCTCACTGCCCGTATTACAGAAAGGTTTCTATATTAAAAGATACAATGTGTATGTATAATGAAATTCCTTGTAATTTTAGTTATAAGAGTGTGCTATCTATGATAGAAATTTAAGCCTAATTCACTTTATTTTGTAAGTATTTATATTATTCAACATATTATATAGACACTGATTATAATTATAGCCAGCTTTTAAATAGGAAATAATTAGATTTGATGATTTTTGTGAATTTTTTTCTTTGATAAATTTTTCATTATAAATTTTAAAAATGCCAAAATTTTAAAATTTCTTAATTAAAGAAACTATTAAAAGCAATATTCAAGTATATTTCCTAGTTGTGTTTATTGTTTGTTATTCGTGAATATTCAAATAAGTGATACTGATAAGTTAAAAATGCAGCTAAATCTGATGTTACTTAGTGAATGACCGTAACATTCACCTTTTAGCCTATTATTCTAGTGATATATCCCACCTAAACCGACTATTAAATGATATCCCACATATTATATTCACTTATAAATATCATTATACCACTGTGTTCAAACAAGTTATTTATTGCATATCATGAAAAGAGTTCTGACTGTTTTTTTTCTTATTTCTTTTGTTTTATATATCCATGTTACTGAAACTAGATAACTACAAAAGACAAGTGATATTATTACTTTTTTTTTTGATTGAAAATTTTCAATATAGAATGAAGAATTATCAGAACTGTTTCTATGATAACTAAACTTTTAAACGTGTAGTATTTGCATTTAATTTGCTTTATTCATTGTTGGAACTGGATGTATACCGTATACACAGTTTGTGTTGTTGTTTTTATGATATTGCATATAAATACTAAATCTTTACAAACAAGTTGGGCGTCATCTTACTATATTACTATACATATTGTTAATTGCCTTGTTGTTGTCTCAACATAAAGTATAGGATAAGGTTACATTTCCCTTTAGATGTACTTGTTTGATGATGATGATTTATTTAAGTTTCTCAAAGATGTACTGCAGTATTCCTAGATACATTTAACCCATCTTTCGGTTCTAGTTAAACCTCTCGACATCTGCATTTATATTAAATAATTTAAGTTTTTTTTTCGTGTAAGTATTTTATTTATATTATTGAAATTGATATGATCAGTTGTTCCGTCGTTAAGACTAGTCTGTAAGATATATGATGCTACAAATATATTAAAGACAAACATTTTATGTAATTATCTCGCAATATATTTAAGTTGCAATATGGAAGAGATACAGAATCTTTTCATTTTTCAAATATATAATTACATATAGAGTGCCATTGAGTTGGTTCCTTAACATTTACAATTGTAACAACTACTACATTTTTTCATTATCATTAACGTATTGTAGCAGATATTTCGCCATCATTATACAGTATAATCATTATATAATTTTATACTACCATTTCTTTTTATTTTGCCGAACACTGCGTCTGCGCGTCCTAATTTTAAGTGTGCCTCTCTCTTTGTACTAACTTTAGGCTAATAATATCCAACATGGCATGAAGCGCCGGCGGGTAAATCATATCTCGTAGTATGGTATCAGTCAGTCCAGTATTTATTTTATAGTTCGCTTGGATTTCAAAGTAATGACAACTCAAATTAACGAAAACGATTTACGCGAATATTTGACATTTTAAATAAAATACTGTCTGTAACAAGTATGTGTTTGAGACGTCTATAACCTTAGTCTCTCCCGTGACCATGATTTCTGTAAAGCATTCGAAATTCGGGAACCAAAAATCAAAATAAATCCGCGAAATAATCCGAATATATAAGTTTTATTTAAAACGAGCATTGCCCGCGGCTCCACCCGCGTTCGGATGACCAAAAAGCAAATTCTTAAGTTGTACATATTAGTATACTCTTACAATGCAGTTTTTGTACTTTTTCTCAGAAATGAGATATTTTCCCGCGGTAAAAAGTATCCTATATGTTGACCCGGATAACCAGCTATCACCATACCAAATTTCATCAAAATCCCTCCAGTGGTTTTTCTGTGATGCGGTAACAGACAGACAAAAAATCTAAAAACTATAGATTCGGTCTCTATATCGACAATAATGTTTATTTCAATAAGATTTTCTAAAAAATATCTAATGTACAGATTCGGCTTAGTTACAATTTTATTATATGTATAGATTTTACATACTGATATATTTCCACATCATAAATAAAGCGGCCATAATTTAAAAGATTTTTATCTTAATTAGGGATGGGCCGCAATTCGTTCTACATTCGGTTTAACCGAATTTCGGCAGCTTGAGCCGAACTTCGGTTTAAATGCCGAACTATCGGCAATAGAAAAAAAATACATACTTACACTATTTTGACCGAAACTAAAAGAAAACATGTTTGTTATAACAATCAAATAAAGTCTCTTAATTTCCATAGTCATTAGTCCGATCGAAATCCGGTTTGGAAACAAAAAAGTTAAACCTGAAGTTTTATATCTTCAAAATGTTAGCAGGTATATACTATATAACGAACAAAAATCCATAAAATGCCCTCGAAAGTCTAGCTAGTAGCTACCCCCGAGAAAAGGGAGGAGGGGGTGTTGAAATGCGTTGAAAAATAGTTTTGTTTATTTTAATTTCTTCATTAATTTTACAATTTTCATGAAACTACGGGAATGTAATTTTAGAAATACATATAATAACCACAATTTTTTTTAATTTAAAAATAAACAGTTTCCGATAGGTTTACATGTTTTTTATTTTAGATAGGAATATGTAAACATTAACACGTATGCGAAAAAAAATAATTAATTAGTTCTTCTTCATTTGACGGTCTCAAAAATGTTTGCCTAATAAAATAGACAAAATGAAGTAAACTTAGTATTTTTGTAACAAACACCTTAGTTAAAATTCGTAAATTGAATAAAAAAATCACATTTTCGGTTGACAAACTCAACACTCAGAAACATTAAGTAAGTAGGTAGAAAGAAGGTAAGAAATTAAAATAAAGAATAAAGTTTACTATTAGAGAAATAATAAAAGGAATGTCAGATTTGGATCGTCCGTACACTACGTATACGACGAATTACTTATTTCCGAAATTGTTTATCATTATTGATTGTGTAACGTTTAATTTGTACTTTATTTTGTGAACATTGTTACTTAGATCTGAATGTCGGAACCAAGGAACATTTTTACTCTTGGGAGGTCGGAACCTTCTTCTACTTTTACTGACAAATGACAATTGACAAGTGACAGACGACAGTTTAATATTACATTGGTGTCATCCGTGGTGTATATTTTATTTTATTATTCGTTTAGGGCTTAGATCAAAGAGTATAGATATATACTGGCTTAGATATAAATAATATTGGCATTTGGCACCTATAATTTTTTATGAGTTAAATAAGTTGTAATAACTTTCAGTGTTTCAAAACAACAAGGTATAATATTTATCTATTATAGTTAATTTATTTGTTAATAAATACTCATGTTTATTCTTAGAATACCAAAGTAAATTAGTTTATTTTATAATTATTGTTTAATATACATTCCTCTTCGTACCTAGTCTTTTAAAATACTATGGATAATCAACAAAGTACTAGCGGGACAAAACTAGAAGGTTGGAGTAAAGAAGAAAAGTTTGAATTACTCCAGGCACTTAAAGAGTATGGATCACAAAATATTGATCAAATACGTAATTATATAACTACTAAAAATGAGGAGGAGGTAAGAAAAGCAATGCAATTTTATAAAGAAAAAGCATTGCTACAATCTAACTCTCAACAGAAAAAAGTAAAAAAAATAAATAATGCTCCAGTAATACCCTTAGCTAGTTGGGCGAAATTTATAACAGACTCTTATGGGTATGAAGAACTTCAAACTGAAACAGCCACTGCTCTGCGAATAATAGCCGACTTTGAAATTAAACCTCCAGGTGTATGCACTGAGAAAATTGATTTCCGTAAAGTATATCACATGCTAGCAGATGCTACAGAAGGGAAACAGCTTCCTAATGATAAACTTATTACAGCTGTTTTTGATAAATGTATTATAGAAACTGCACTAACCAGCAAAGCATTTATTAAAAGTACTACATATAAACAAATACTTCAATCGATAAATACAACTGACATAGACATCAATGTTTTTTCTAAACCAACTGATAATATAGAATTAGCAACTTTACGCCATTTAACAAGTCAAAAGTGTTATAATCCATTAAATATCACAGAAAATTATCTAAAACCATCTTCATATACAAGATAAACAACAGATTCTGTATGTTTTATGTGTATTTTTTATTATTAAACTTATTTTCATTTAAATAATGTTATATTATTCTTTGTTACCTTTTCATTTTAGTTCAACACCTCAAATCAGAATTTTACATAAATTTAAATTTTAACTATTTTGATTTATAATATTATGATGAATTTAACCATTCTATAAATTTGTTAAATAATCTTAAAGCCATTTTCACCATTCTATCCCAAAAACTTGGTTGATCTTCAGATTCTTGAGCTGATGGAGTTGGAAAATCTTCATTTCCAAAATCTTCAATTTGACGTTTTGTTCTTTCAACGAAATGTTGTTTATGGAGATTCAAACTATCTAGAATAGAAATTAAAATTTATAAAAAATAATTAGCATTGCCCGCGGCTCCTCCCGCGTTAATGACCGAAAACCAAATTCTTAGATTTTACATATTAGTATACTCTTACATTGCGGTTGTGTATTTTTTCTCAGAAATTACAGAAATAAGACATATTCTCGCGGTAAAAGTATCCTATATGTTGACCCGGATAACCAGTTATCACTATACCAAATTTCATCAAAATCCCTCCAGTGGTTTTTCTGTGATGCGGTAACAGACAGACATACAAAAATTCTAAAAACTATAGATTCGGCCTCTGTATATGTTATTTCAATAAGATTTTCCAAAAAATATTTAATGTACAGATATGGCTTAGACCTTAGTTACAATTTTATTATAGGTATAGATTTTGAGAAGGCTAAGTAAGTATTAGAGGAAACAAAGGGATAATTTTATAAATATTTTGAATCATAGATAAATATTGATTTTTTTTTATTACCTATTGTATTTAAGGAAATTCTAAGTAAATCTATACTAATATTATAAAGAGGCTGCGTTTGTTTGAACGCACTACTCAGGGAATAGTTGATCCAATTTGAAAAATTATTTTTGCATTAGATAGCCCGTTTATTGAGGATATAGGCTATAACTATATGCTATATCCCGGAAAAATAGTATAATGAAATGTCATACATTTTTTATATTATAATAATAATAGATATATTTAAGGAATGGTCCTCAACTATGGTTGTCTCATATTAGCTTGTACTCACTTGAATTTTTCACGGATATCTGTAAATTAAAAAGAAACTGAGAAACAAATCAATGAGTATAATATTTAAATTACTTTAATTTCATTGAAATAAGGTAAATGTAAATTATTAATAAAAATAGTTTTACCTGATATCCAGCTGTAAATGTTATGAAACAAATGAAAATGGCTAACGATGTCAGCAGATAGAAGGTGCTTCGTCGCATGTTGTTGGCTTCGTTTCTCGCATTACCTATTGAGTGACTTTGAACTTGTATTTTATAGGAAGGCGTGGCGGTTGATAGCTACAGCGGAAAATCATGGCATGTAATCACTAGTACAACAATAAATGAATAATGAATTGGCTTTTTTGCTGATCTTTTGTTAGATTTGTTACAGTTGAAGCAAACATCGACAGAATCAACTAAGTAATTTTTGTTTATTAACTAAATTATACTCTGAATGATGTCACATATGTACATATAATGAAACATAGCTATGAAATAAGGCTCTTAATGACGTGTTAAAATTAGAGCACCTGCTGGCTGTTATGATTCGCTATGTTACCGGCCAAACTGGTTTTTCCTTTTCTTTTAACGTTGGGAAATGCATTTACAGGGAGGTGGCCCACCTCGGTGGGCGGTGTACCATGCGGGTTGCTCCTGGTACTTCTCTGATAGCAGAGTGGACCGTTAGAGCAACCCCATGGCTGTTGTGGTCTGCTTCGGCAGACGTCGTCGTCGTCGGGGCGTCGTAGTTGAATGCGTAAGCGATCCTGCGACGTCCCATTAAGACGGGGGAGGTTTCGTAGGATTTTAGTTAGTACCGTCCCACATCTCGTACCTAAATGCATTTCCCAATGTTAAAAAAAAGTACATTCTGACACACTCTGGAATAACCATTTTGAATTAGGACAAACCAGTTTAGCCTGATATCTAGTGTGGCCGGTAACAGTTATACTTACAAAGTTATGCATATATTATGGCTATGTACATTGTACATACATATGTATGAGTTCAGGTACTTGTTCTTTTTAATTTTTGACTAAACCTAGCTAATAATAACAATTTATCATTCTATTACATATTTACTACTGCAGTAATTAATTGTTATTTCTATTAGCCACCCAAATCGAACTGACAACCTACAGAAACTATGAAGATAATTAATTATTTTAATCATACATTACTTTTTGGTAGCGACAGTACAAGGTGCATGTTGCACGGAGTGTTTATATAGAGCGACCTTTGTTACGCACCATAGCATGCACACAATATTCACATTAAGTTGTATGTACCTATATGTTGTGTGTATATATAGGAAGATTTAAAAAACCTAATAGGTACACTATGAGAGATATTCCACTTCGGTGGGCGATGTACCATGCTGGTTGCTCCTGGAAATTCTCTGATAGCAGAGGACCGTGGGAGCAACCCCTTGTTTGTTTTTGGTCTGCCATCGGGGCGTCGTAGTAAAGTGCGTAAGCGATCCTGCGATGCTCCATTAAAACGGGGGAGATTTTGTTAGATTTTGTTTTAGTGGCTTTTCTAGCCGATGAATCTCACATAACCTGTATGTACATTGTACGGATGGTGTGCGCAAATACATTTCTCAACATTAAAAAAAGGCATAGTTGCTCTCAACTAAATAATTATAATAGTTATATTTGTTAAATTTATTTACACATTAAATGGTGTCTTTTGTAAAACATTAAGTGATTTAGGCACGAATTAAATTATTGAGATAACTTAGGAGTTGGGGCAAGATATTAATATTCTATACATATTATAAAATAGTAACTTATCGAAATCTGTACATGAAATATTTTTCAAAAACAATGAGTGTAACATACTTGTATTGTGTACAGGATATACTCGTAGACCCCAAAACAATAGTTATTAAAAATTTCGTCTGCTTGTCTGTGTGCGTTTTACGCAAAAAGTACAGAACCGATTTTAACAAAATGTGTAGCGATAACTTATTACTCGAGTCAATATTTAGTATATACCTTTTACTACAGGAGAAACGAATTTCCTTCCCAAAGGAAAACATAATAACTGGTTTTATCGAGTTGTCCTTAGAAATTTACATGGCTAATGCTGGATAAACCTTAACAGATATACATCTAAACAAAGTATTAGAAAATTGTAGGTCTTAAAAAGGCCCACAGAAGTCTGCAATAGCATATTTCTATCTCCTAAGGTGCACCACTCTCAATACCTATTTATATCTATTTAAAACATACCTAGGGACACACCCGAGCGAAGCGGGGGTAAGTTGTTAGTAATTTATCATTTATCTTTTTATAGAAAAAGTTAAATCAAGTGAGTAACAGATAATAAATTATCACATTTCATGTTTTGCTACTAAGTATAATAAATGATTCTCATACACAAATATATCTTATTACTTCAACATAATGTTAGCAAAATTGTTATTGTTTTAAAAAATTAAAATATTTTGATATATTCCAGTAGTTGGTTTGGAGTGAGTAGTAATTCTGTTAAAATCAAGCATAAATAAACCACTTGATGGTGTATGGAATTAATAAAGACATTTTTAATAAATTGAAATGTGCAAAGTTAATAACAATGCACATTATCATCTTTATTGCAAATTAATGGTAGTACTCGTAATATACATAATTTTAACACTTTATATTACTGCTACTTTTTAGAGGCTCCAAAACCAGAGAAGCCCATTATTTGTGCTAGCTCTGACTGAGCAGGACCTTCATCAATTTCCTCAGTTTCTTGAAGCTTGCGTTTTTTATCTCTACGTCTTTCACGCCGTAATTCTTTTAGCCTTGCTTCTTCTTCAGCAGCTTCTTTAAGTCGAGTGTCCAGTTCATAATCTTGTTTCTTTTCTTCCAATTTCCGTTTGTTTAAAGCAAATCTGGCTTTTACCTACAAAATAAAATAAAGCATATATACTCTTGAATTTGTTAACTTTGCTATATTATTTTTGACAAGATGCAGGTTTAATATAACTTATAATTAAAAACAATACACTTTACCTGATCTAAGGAGCTCCTTTCAATCTTCATGGACATACCAAGATTTCTTTGATGTTTTTTTCCATTGATATGATCCAAAAAGTTAATGGAATCTTTGACAACACAATCACAAACATTACAATAGTAGCCTCCTGACTGTGATGTTGGCGTATTTTTGGTGATTACTACACTTTTTCCTAATTTTGAGTCTAAGTCAACTTTATAGTCTCGTTGTTTTAGAAGTTCCCTTTTGATTGGTGGTGCTGGAAAGAGTAAACAAGAGAGAAAGTTAATTTCAGAATTAGTAATTGTAATGTAAAATAATTAAAGTAAATTTTACATTTATACCTTTCTTTTTAGATCTTTCTTCTTCTTCCAACTCAGCCTGTAGTCTCTCTGCAGCGATTTTTTCAAATTCATCTTTATCCCACTTTCTCCGATGATCTTCTGGTCTCATACTCATAATTAGTTCTAGCAATTATATTACTTTCGAAAGAAATACAGATTACCAGTTCGCATGGACACTTTGTTTTCTGTGTTCAGTAATTCAGTGTTGTGAATTTTATCCTTTTATTTGTCATCCATTATTTTATCGTTGACTTGACAGATAAACTGTCACAAGTCACGACCCACAGAAGACACATTTTACGCAGACAGCAGTTGACACCACTTTAAACATTGTGTAATCTGTATGTGTTTATGGTTCTTCAATCTCTACGTAGTCTGAGGGTTCTTAAAAAATGAGGAAGATTTCTTGCAAGGAGGGCGTTATACGTATGATCTATTTACATTCAGTCTGAGGTTAATTAAAGGGTTAAAACCAGATAATAAAATTTATATGGGCAAAGAATTATTTATGAACAGAATTATTCGTAACTTGGTACTAATACTCTTCAATACAATTAAATAAATACGGTTTTAGCATTTTTCGAAATTCAATCCCTTAAGGCAGTAAAATGGGGGATGAAAGTTTCTATGAAACTCTGTAAATAATGTGTAAAAAAGTACAATAAATAAAAAAAGATATTCACATGTAGACGATTAAAGTCTTTTAAAATCACTTTCTGTAAAATGATGTCCACATAGTCTTAAATATAAAGTTTGTGATTTTGCCAATTTTGGTCGTCTTATTGATTTAGCCCACAATTTCTCTAGTTTTTGTCTTTTAGGAACAAATGATATCCATTTTCTTTACATCCCGGCACTGTACAATTTGTCGTTTTAAGAGATACATCAAAATAAAGTACTAGAAAATTATAGGCAATTTGATTAAAGCGTCTAAATATAACAACTAAATTTACACTACATAATAATGAAATTAACAAAAACTAAAAAACGTGTACGTGCGTACGAAAACGGTTACCATAGCAACAAACAGTTATCAGCTAACTTCATCATGTTTTTTTGGCTGTCGGTGTAAACGCGCATCGTAATAATTTTACTCTCGTATTTTTTTCCAAATGTCCTAGAAGAAGCATAACTTCAATTATTAATAACAAAATTATATAAGACTAGCGTCTCGTTCGTCCCTAGCTTGCTTCCCAATACAAACTTTCATCGCTATTTTCAACCCCTTTAGGAATGATTTTCAGGATAAAAAGTATCCTATGTCCTTTCCAGGGTCTCAAACTATATTCTTACCAAATTTCATCTAAATCGGTTCAGTAGATCCAGAGATTACCCTCTAAAACGTCACAAACTCACAAACTTTACCTCTTTATAATAATAGTATAGATATTTAATCAAAGAGCGATTTTTTTTAGAAAAGAGATAAAACCAAAAAGTACCTTCCTTCTCGTGTTTGCGACATTATAAACTTTCGAATTTAGCAGTAATTTCTAACTATCCGCTAACAAATTATACTTTTTTTTAAATTTCTTTGTAGCGGGGTGATCGCCGCATAAATTATAAACACTACAAGTAATTAATTTAAATCAAATAAAAAAATAATAATAATTGTAATTTAAAGTGATTGAATAGAAAAAAAAATTTGTTATGAGTGTTACGAATTCTTCTCGAAATATCTATTCATCACAGGTTTTTATATCTTTTGTTAGGCATAGCAATACATAGTATATTATGTGAGCCGAATCAATCAATAATAATGTTATAAATAATAATTAATAACCTAATCTTTAAGTATTTTAAATACTTGGTCTTCTAAAGATCCTCAGAGGTATTCCCCACTTACTATCCCACAGTAGGTGCCTATATTTTCTTGGACACAAGTTTAGTATATGGGACGCAGCCCCTGGAGAAGTGGGTGGTATTTTTGGATAGGTGAGGTGATAGGGAATCCAAATATATAAAAAATATTTTGAGGAAACAAAGGACTCAAAAGGTATGGAGACAAGTTAGAATATTTCCATACATTTCTATACCTACCTAAATAAGTCATTACAAAAGATAAACATACTTTCAATTTTAAAATATATTTACTTATATAGTAATTATACAAGTTATATAATTACATAATTTACATTTAGCAAAAAATTTAAACCATTATTTGATTTTTATTATCTGTGAATTATTTTCAGCATTTTTGGCGGGTAGTTACAAAATACCGCGAAGTTCGATACTTTATGTGAATACGATCTGTACTTATTAAACGCGTTTAAGTTTTCATATTTTTTACTCTTTTTCATAGTTATTTTTCTCGTATTAATTTCCAGTAGTTATTAATTTTTGTTAATTTTCATATACGTTCTTTTCTACTTATTTGTTTTAATGTTATTACTATAGTTTTAAGTGTTGTTAGTGTTTTAAGGGTACTCATGCAATTTATAAACGTGAATAGACTAATTTTTAAATCTAAGTGAATTATTTATTTTTTGATTAGGTGACAGTCCGAGTTGGATAACGTAGGTCGAGAAGACTTCCCCCCCAACGTGCGTTCACCTTGTCGTGGTGGGGGGGCTCAGTAGTGCCCGGCAATCCAACCGGGCGCGAAGCCAAGTAACGCACAGGGAGGTTGCCCACTTCGGTGGGCGGTGGGAGGTGGCCCTCTTCGGGGGGCGGTGTACCATGCGGGTTGCTCCTGGTACTTCTCTGATAGCAGAGTGGACTTTGGAGCAACCCCATGGTCGTGGTGGTCTGCTTTGGCAGACCTGCCGTCGGGGCGTCGTAGTTGAATGCGTAAGCGATCCTGCGACGCCCCATCAAGACGGGGGAAGGTTTTGTTGGGTTTTAGTGGGTAGTACTGGTTTGTTTACGCCGGTGAGACCCACACGTCGTGCGTAAATGCATTTCCCAACGTTAAAAAAAAAAAAAAAAAAAGGTCGAGAAGACTAAGGCACGAGCGAAGCGTATCGTAGCTCCCGCCTTAGCCTTCTCGTTAGGTTTTCTTTTTTTCAAACCCCTTCTATCATTATGCTTATGCTATAAGTTAATTTAAAATTCAGTGATCTGACTCACGATCACGATTTCATTTAAAACTTTTGTATAGGTATACATACTTATTATAATATCATACTTATACCATTATGAAATGGTGTTTTGTCAAGATCTCTTCTTCTATAATTCAAGTTCCTAGATATTACATCATTTTAAATAAAGAGCTATAAGAATTATAAGATTAATTCAGGTATTAAGATGAAGTTTATGCATAAGAAAAGCAGGCAATAACGCACTAAAATTGCTCTTTTCAAATGTAGATTTTCTATTTTCACTGAGCAAAAGCAGTTTTCCAGGTCGGCTATTCCATCGCGCATACTTGAGAAATTGAGTTCATACGCTTGATTTTTATATTTTTCAGGAATTTAAAATGTTACTAAAATTTGAACGAACGAACCTTATCGGTTCAAACTTCAAATTATTCATTTTACATTTTGATTTTCTATAAGTATTGTTAAGCTAAGGGTAAATTATTATCAATACCTATATTTATTTAATTACTTTGATAAGATCTTTATTATAGGTAAATCAGAAATATATTAGTACAAGTATCTAGCCTTGCGATTATTTTGCACATTTTTGTGATCAGTATCAATAAATAAATATATTTTTAAAATCTTATAATCATTTTTATACAAGTAGAGGTATAGAAGCTATATTTTTACATGCATAAGAACCCAAATATTCGTATAAAAAATGATAAGTACAGAAATATAGAACTGAATGCCTTTAAATATTTTACAAATTACCTACGTATCTGAAATTCGTTTTTTAAATTTAGACACATTGAATTTATAGTGGTTATATGAAAACAATGCGTGATATAGCATTCTATAAAATTTTATCACCTAAATATATCTATAATGAAAATCGTTGTAAAGTTATTTACTGCTAACATTAGGGAAAAATGTGTGATAAAAACATTTTTGGGCTGAATAAGTTTAGCACCAAACTTACAAATAGTTTTCGAACACAATAACTCTTTATAAGAATTACGAGTCGAGCGACCGGAGGTGGAAATCACCGTCTGTTTCCTGCGGGATTCGTGCTTATTCCTAAAATAAGAATGAAATAAATACGTGACATTGTTATTATTATTATTTATATATTACTAAGAAATTAAACTATTAATAGTGTATTTTAAAAGTATATATAGTACCCAATATAGAAGTATATCTTTATACTAAAAACAACATCATACAAAATTAGTTTTAACATAACATTTTTCCCTTGGGAACTAGATATTATGTCTTCGAGTGTTTGAAATTTAACTCCGTCATGAAAGTCTTTTTTAACATTGGGTAACGCATTTACGAATTTCTCCTATGTACATACAAATAAGTGGTTTTGTGGAGATTCACGGATATTTATCAACATACCACTACCTAGCACACATAAGCTAATATCTACTGAAACCTAATCTTCGTATCTAAATGAGGCGTTGGCAGACCTACCGAGGTAGACCTCCCGAACAATATCTGTACCCTTATTAAAAGTTGAAAATAAGAAGCTTAACAAATATCTTTTACAATCAATATTTTTTTCTATTTTCTTAACAAACAAAATTTTCTTTGATTATATTTCTGAAGACCTTATAACGCAGTAGGTATTTCTACTGCACCTAAAGCTTTATTGTTTGTCTAGTCTTACATCTATTTTACTTAGCCTTTAGTTGACGAGCAGAGAATGCCGTGAAGCATTAAGTCCTTCAGTTGTTCTTTTGTAAGATAGAACAATAAATTACCTATGTTCAGGTTCTACCTACCTTCAGGTGCCTTCGATATCAGTATATTAACATAAAATAATTCAAATTAATCTGCCCATTTTCATGGAATATTTATTATTTTCAACCGACTTCAAAAAGGAGGAGGTTCTCAATTCGACTGTATGTTTTTTTTTTTTTTTATGTTTGTTACCTCAGAACTCCGTCATTTATTAACCGATTTGGACAATTTTTGTTTTGTTTGAAAGGGTATACTTCCAGATTGGTCCCATTTAAATTTCAAAAAAAAAGTACCACCCCTAAGGGTGGAAAAACAACTAATGATGAATTTAACCTACTTC